GTACGGCCGGAGGCGTAGAGGGACAGCACGGCCTGGATGGCCACGTACATGGCGGGCACGTTGAATGTCTCAAACATGATCTGGGTCATCTTCTCACGGTTGGCCTTGGGGTTGAGGGGGGCCTCGGTGAGCAGGGTGGGGTGCTCCTCAGGGGCCACGCGGAGCTCGTTGTAGAAGGTGTGGTGCCAGATCTTCTCCATGTCGTCCCAGTTGGTGATGATGCCGTGCTCGATGGGGTATTTCAGGGTCAGGATACCTCTCTTGCTCTGAGCCTCGTCGCCCACGTAGGAATCTTTCTGCCCCATACCCACCATGACGCCCTGCGGAGTGGAGACACAGAACACCGGTCACCTCAGCTCCGGGCAGCAGGCGGCTGGGCCAAGATGGGCGGATCCCGCCCCCACAGTCTGCGGAGGCACGGCCTGACCTGGTGGCGAGGGCGGCCCACGATGGATGGGAACACGGCCCTCGGGGCGTCGTCGCCGGCAAAGCCGGCTTTCACCAGGCCGGAGCCATTGTCGCACACAAGGGCGGTGGTCTCGTCTTCGTCGCACATGGTGTTTGGTTTCTGCAAGGACAGAAAGGCCACGGAGATGCACGGCCCGTCGGTTCAAGAGGTCCCGCCGGCTGGAGCACCCTGCGCCCGTCCTGGCGACGTACGGACACCCCAGTACCAGCCGCCCGCCTCAGGCCAGGAGCGCCCGCAAGTAACGGGTCTCTAGCTTCGCTCCAGGGGCTCAGGGCTGCTCTGTCGTGGAGGGTCGTGGAGACCACACTGAGAATTCCTCCACCGCAGGGGACCTAGGGGCAGCGTGTCCCCGGAGACCACTGTGCCTCCGCTGCAGGCTGCCTGCTGCAGGAGCCAGGCCTGGCGCCCGCCCTCTCCCGCTGCGGGGTCCTCACCTAGGGAGCAGAGCCCGCCACACGGGCTCGCTGAGGATCCTGTGGAAGGGCCTGGACTGCGCCATCCAGAAAGGGGTGGCTTCTTCCGGAGCCCCGGGGCATTCCGGACCCACAGCCCAGGCGCCCTGTCTCCTGATCGCGAGCCCAGGCAGTAAGGGACCTTACTGTCCCCTGGCTCTGGCGCTCGGTTGGGAGTAAACTGCTTTAGGGACGACTGGAAGGAAACCTTTTCTGTGCCTGGGCACTCACTAAGTGTCCGGTGGAGCAGCCTGAAAGGGCAATGAATTCGGAAGTTCCCACAGGCCGATCGTCTGGCGCCTCCTCTTTAAAGAGCTGTGGCTCTGGGGACCGAGGCGTAGGGTGCAGACGTGGGGCTGATCAAGCCAGTCGGCCGGGCCCTGTCCCTCTGTCCCTCTGTCCCCTCCCTACTCCTGTCCTTCCTACCTGGGTGGCTGACTACACCTGCTGCTCTCCGGCCCTGGTCGCCGTGGAAGGGAAGCGAGGCTTCACTGGGCGGTGTCCGCTGCGGTGGCCGACCGGACCCCGGCTCAGGTTTTATATAGCCCGCGGGCGCTCCCCCCGCGCCACCCCGCAGGAATGTCGCTCCCCTTTTCGAGCCATATTTGGGTGTTCGGCACTGGAGACCCCTCCCCCGCCCGGGTCCCCTATACTGACCAAAGAAGGAGAGGGCTGGCCCGGGCCCAGGTAACACGGGCCGGGCCGTATATGGAGTGTCTCCCCTGCCGGTCGGCCCCTCCCGACCCGCCCAGTTGCCCGCCGGAGGGGATGGGGTGGAGCGAGGGTCACTGCTGGAGCCGCTGGCTGCGCCCGTGCGCCTGCGCTCCCGGGGCTGCACCTGTCCGAAGCGCCTCCCCACCCCCGCCCATTCCGCGCGCGCACTGGGCGCTCTGGACGGCGGCTCCCACGTTTCACTCCTTCTTCGGGTTCTTTCCTCAGTCCCCCAACCCTCCCGTGCGACTCCTACAGGGAGAGGGAGCCGCGTCCGAGCGGGGGGGGGGGGGGGGGTGCTGAGAGGATGGGAGAGGCGGTCGGGTCCGCCGTCCCAGACAGCGGAGGAAGGCGACCCCTCCCCCCAGGCAACTGCGTTTCTCCGCCTTCACCCCTGAGCTCCCCGAATCCGGAGAGCTGGTCCAAGTTGCCCCTAGCCCCACTGTCAAGCCGGCCGCTGCCGGCGGGCGGGCGGGCGGGCGCGCAGCTGTCCCGGGGCAGACAGCTGGCAGCGGGCATCGAGGCTGAGGGCGGGGGGCGGCGCGGGGCTCCCGGGGACAGGCCCGGGCGGTGGCTCTGTCTGGTAGCCCCGGTCACAAAGCCAGGGCACCGGGAGCCGCCCGCCTGGGGGACGCGCAGCAGGCTCAGCGCGCTCGGGGGTTCACCAAGAAACCGAGCCTCACGGGACGTTCCCTCCCTCGCCCGCCGAGCTGCCCCAGGCTCCCGCGGGCCAGGCTGAGCGCCCTGCCCCGAGGGCAGGGTCACGACCCAGGATCCGGGGGGGGGGGGGTGAATGCTTTCACTAGAAGAGCAACACGAAGGACAAGGACGCTGCGCCGCGCGACAGGCGGCAGTTTTTCCTTCTGCGAAGGCTGAACGGACTCATCTTTATATTTAGAGGATGATGCCCGCCAGGGCCCGGCTGCTTCCCCGGGCCACGTCGGAGCCCCCGCCTCCCGGAGCCCCCGCCTCCCGGAGCCCGCTCTATTTATACCCGTGATGTATGGGATATGCCTCCCAGATTTTCGAGGATTTGGACCCACCAGTGGGGAGGTGGAGTGTGGGTCACGGGAGGTCGTCCTGCTGGTGCCCGCCTCACAGAGTTGCGCCCCCCCCACCCTGCCCCACCTGGGGACAAGAGGGGTTCCCCCCTTGCTTTGGAAGGCAGGAGGAGAAACGATTTTCTGGGACGAACTCCATGACGTGCTTTAAGGGACGAGGGGCACGGCGGAATGGAATCATTCATTCTTCTGATGTGCCCGAGTGTTCCCAGAATAGCTGCAGTTCCCACCAGGGCTTGGCGGCGGGACAGGTGTGGACGCCCTGGGAACTAGGAGCGCCCGCGGAACCCTCTGTAGCCCGCATGGGTCAGGGCACCGACGGTCAAAGCCAGTGGGAGGACGAGGAGCTGGGCTGGGATAGGCCCCACGGCAGGGAGTATGAAGGGCCCTCAGTTAACAGCTGCCCTGGTTTCGTATTTGGCCTTCTCAGTTTGGGAGAAGGACTGAATTGACAAAACCACGCTTCATTCCTCATACCTGTGTCCTGCCGAGTCCGTGGGCAGGGGCGACACTAGGAAAAAAAAAAGGGGGGGGAGATGAACTCCAATTTTGGCCTTAACAACAGGAAGAAATGTGCTGCAATTCAGTAAATACCTAATCATTTGTTGGCATTTTAAAAGGGAATGGGGTTAATATTTTCCAAAACTCTAGCTGAGGGCAACTCTTATCCCTCCTATAGCAAGCTTTTCTAAGCTCAGTCTATGAAATTCACACACACATTAAGGGCAGCGAGTAAAACAGCTACGGGAGGTTTGTGAGTACAGCGGCAGGTCCCGAGAACATGGGACCGGAGATCTGCTCTCTGCCCCCCACTCCAGGGGCTTCAGTTGTCTCTCCTGGTCACTCTGGGGCTGTTCAACCCCCTTGTTGAATTCTCATCGGCCTCAGGAGCAGGTGGAGAGCCGTCCCCACACATGTACGCCCTGGGAGACACGCCAGCTCCATGCTCTTGCCGGGTAAGCGGGTACCCCCTGCCATATCCTTTTGAGAACTCAGCCTAAGAAAGGTCAGCCCAGGTGGAGGGTTTGCCTGGCAGCTCCTGTGTCTGAGTCTTGGGAACTCACAGGGTCCTTCTGCTGAAGTCGGCCAGTGTGCCCACAACTCCCCTCTCCGGCCTTGCTCCTCAGTGGGGCGCCCCCACTCCTCACTGAACATCCCGGTCTTGCTTACTCTACGCCCCCGAGTCTAAGCCCCCTACACTAAGGTAGGCATCACGTGGCCTACCAACTTAAACATGAACTTGTGACTTTGTTTTCATGTGGGGCTCGTTAAACTTCTGACCTATCCCGAGGTAAATACAGTTCCTATTCGAGCCAGTTTTGGAAACAAGGAAACCAAGGCTCAGTGAGGTAGACATGTCCCAGGTCCACCACCGCCGCAGCAGGGAAGGCTTGGTCACGAGTGGTCAGGGCAGGGCGAGGACTGCTTTCTCCCTCCCTTTGCTCTCCCCCAGCACTGGGTACAGTTGTGGAGACCTGAGGCCGCCAGGGGATCTTTCCCAGGGAAGAGGGGAAGGACCCCTGGAGTGCAGTCAGGACCCCCTCTGCGGCTCGGACAGAACAGAGAAGGGCTGGCTGGCAGCGGAGCAGGGGGCCAAACACCGTACTAGCCCTCCTCACCAGCCACGCGGCTGCAATGTCAGGCCAACCTGACGGTCAGTGATGGTCATCGAAGAGGGCTTCCGTTTTCTGCTGCTGGACTTCACTCTGGGCCTTGCTCTGCCCGGGCCATCTCTAAGGGCCTCACCACTCCTTTGGAGCTGTCCTCTCTCCTCCTCCCCACCCCCACAGTACACCCAGTATAATAAACTGGTTAAAAGCTCGCACTGTGGAGTAAAGCGTATCTGGGTGCACCCCCCTCTGACTGGCTCTGTGACCTCGGACAGGCTGCTTCCAGAAAGACTCAGCATTCTCAACCCAGGACACTGCCTACTCCCTAAGAGTGTTTTGAAGATTAAAACCAGGCAAGCACCTGAAGCATAAATAAGTGGTGCAACATCTTTCTTCTAAGTGTTTGGAGGAGCTGAGAGGTTAGCCAAACACATTAAAAATTATTAGATCTGCTCACTCCACGCACATCATCACAGACAACAGGAAGAGCGAACCTAACTTTAAATGTACTTGGAGTACACAAAGATTTATTGCGGTATTATTTTAAATAGTAAAACAAAACAGAACCCAAACCATTAATCCAACTTTTTAAAAATATATTTTTAAAAGATTTTATTTATTATTTATTTTGAGAGAGAGGAGGGAGAGAAACATGAATGTGCGGTTGCTGGGGGTCGTGGCCTGCAACCCAGGCATGTGCCCTGACTGGGAATCGAACCTGCGACACTTTGGTTCGCAGCCTGCGCTCAATCCACTGAGCTACGCCAGCCAGGGTTAACCCAACTGTGTTAAGACTGAGAGAGAGGGAGGGAACTGCTCAGTACTGCTACGGCCATGCAGCAGGTGTCATGCAACCACGAACAACGGCGTCTTGAATATGGCCGTACGCTGTGGCACCAGGACCTGGACTCTCGTTGTCACGTCTGGCTTCTGACCTTCCCGTTCTCGGTGCAAACCCTTCAGTGCCCCTGTAACCTGGCAGAAGAGTGAATATGCCGGCCTCTGCCTGCCCATCTCTGGTCTTTATTTAAGGCCGGAGAGAAACTGAGGGACCACCGAGGTCAAGAGCAAGAGGCTTGAGAACCACTGCTTTCCAGGTCGGTCGGCTGCCACATTAAGAAAATCTGTAATAGGTTCTGGCATCACACATGCTTCATAGCAGCTAGGCAGACTGTGGGAAAGCTGGGATCCAAAGCTGTAAATCATTTCAGAAATACACGAAGCTGACTGAACTCCTGTGTTGGAAGATTGTAACGAATGCCAGCAGTATACAGAAAGTCACACAGGCCCTGACAGGGTACTTCTTTTGGTTAGAGCGTTGTCTCTATACACCAAGGTTGTGGGTTCGATTCCTGGTCAGGGTACATACAGGAAGCAACCAATGAATGCATAAATAGGTGGAACAACACGTTGATGTTTCTCTCAAAAAAAAAACAAACCCCAAAACAAAAACACCCAACCAATTTTTTTAAATTATAAAAAAAGAAAGCCGCACAAATGTTTTATTCAGTCCAAGACTTTCATTACTACTCTTCTTTAGGCAGAGGAAACTTCTCCCGAGGAGTCAATCCGTCGCCCCGCTCACAGAGCCAGGCCCGCTCTGGTCGCTTCCTCCGACGACACTGTACGTGTAAGTCAGCGAGACCCGACCTTTGTCCTACCAGGTGTCTCACACTGGCCCGCGGCCAGACAGACACCAGAGACCACAGGCCCCCCTCAAGGCGCAGTGTGCCGAGTCACCCACCGTCTCGGGGACAATCCAGTGCAACCCCGGCAGCTCCAGAGCCCGGGGTGCGGGGAGATGACACAGAGTGGGTGTTGAGCCCGGGAATGGCAAATGATAAGTTTCAGATGAAAAACAGGAGAGAAAATTTAATGTAACTAAAGACCAAAACTGTAGTCACATGGCTGTTTCACAGTAGCTTCCAAATAAAGTACAAAAAAACCAGCAAAACACATTATAAAACTGTACAAACTGCTACGTGTTTAAGGCCTAACATTTTTATAACAGTATATACGAATTTCCAGCAACAATGACCATTTCGAGAAAAAGTCACCCTTGTCCCTGGACATAATATTCATAATTTGCTTTCAAAACAAACTCGAAGTAAGGGTTGGACTTTAGGCTTCCCAGCTGCTCTGCTTGTAGCAGGTCCTTCACCTCGGGCAGGTAGTCGCTGAGCTGGATGCCTGGAGACACAAACGCAGACAGTCATGTTTTGCTGTCACGAAACTCTCAAAGGAACCAGGATGATTGACGATGAAGACACCTGTGCTTCTATTTAAATGTAATGCCACTCTGCCGTGGGGACAGGCTGTCTGAAGCTCCTCCCACCTGTCAAACACAGTGCAAATCTAACTGCAGGGCGCTCTCAGAGGAGGCTGCTTGAGTGACTTCCCCCTAGTGGTCAAAAAGCCACTCTGTTTAAAGCCTTTAATAGTCCCTGAAACCTTCCTTTCCCCCCACAGCTCAAGTCACTCCTCCGATGTGGAAGTTTTTCCTTTTTTTAAACTAGTCATCATGTGAAAACAAGTACTCAAACAATCACACACTGTCCTGTTTGGGAAGTAATTTAGCAGAAACACTTGCACCAAAGCTGGCTGTGCATTCAAGCAGGTGGGAGGGCCGTGTCCCCCCCCACCCCCCCACCCCGGCCCTCTGCAGAGCGGGGGTCCACGAGCACTCACTGAGCGGACTGCTTACAGTGAGATCTGGGGAGTTTCAAGAGAATACCTACGATTTTCCTCACTTTATACAAAAACAGGACAAGCAGCTTTAAATTAGTGAGACAATGTTTTATAATTTGTTGCACTACCATGAAGTTCTCAAAATCGTCTCTTTAGTGCCCTCCAAGTGTCCAGCACCAGTTGTGTGCTTGCTATACAAAGACAGGGATCAACACATGCTATGAGGCTAAATATCCGTTTTACATAAATAAAAATCCAAGTTATTTACAGACATTACCAATGACACTTTCAATAAAGCCGTTTCCTCCATGACACAGCATTACATCTGTAAACACATCACATTACTTTTTAAAAGATCAATTCTCTAAAAAATGAACACGTGATCTGACTTCTGTTTGCACAGTGTGGGCCTGCTGTTCAGCCCTCGGATTCATTCGGTGGCTCACTTCCTTCCTTCAGAGCTGGGTCAAAACGCGAGCGCCAGCCCAGGCCGGGCCGTGGAGCTGGAGCAGGGGGTGGCCGGGCGCTGGCGCACTCAGAGCCAGCGCCACCTGGAGGGGGCGGCGCTCGCCAGCTCCCGCTGACGCCTGCCGGGAAGTATTCCAGGCTGGCGCAGGCAGATCTTCTGGTGTTTGCGAGAAGTCAGAAAACAAGACTTTTTGTGAGACTTCTCAACTATTAAATGCTGGTAACTCATTTGAAAACATTTTGAACTCCATGGGACAATATGTGCCTTTTGTTCTGTACATATAACGTACTCCTTCAACAATACACGAAAACAGCCCGACAGGCTTCACGTGGACGATTTAAACGCATCTGCAGGATGAATGCATTCCACAGGCTACGGTACCTGTCGGACTGACAAGGGCTGTGAAATACAACATGGGGAAACCTGTATCTCTCTACCTTTCAGAAACTGTCTTTTAAAAACATTTATCATTATACAGGAAAGACATGTTATTAAAAAGGTTTCAAAAAGAAATGTCCTTAGCTTAAAATAAATATATATCCCCTTTATTCACACACACACACACACACACACACACACACACACATTTATAAAATAGTTTCAATTTGTTTTTGTGCTTTGCTAAATAAACAAGGGCAAAATTTAGTAACTTTTGTAAAAGTATAACTTTCCATTCCTGATTCTTTCCCATCCGTGATTTATAATCTAAGAAGAGCAAGAGCTACAAATCACCTTTACACAGCACTATTTACTTAGCAAGCCACAGTGCAGTTCTGTGGAACTTTTGCGAGAACTAACTTCAGGAGAAGCATTTGGGCCCAAATGCTTTCTCACCGTCCACCGGGCCCAGCTGGGGCACCAGCCGCCAGCGCCGGGAACGCACCCACATCCAGTCGTTTCTTCCGATTCCAAACAAAGGAAACGGAGGCCTTACAGATACACTGTAGTTCCTTCTGAATTTCACACATTTTCAAGCAAAAGATATTTTCCTTCGTCATACCCCTTCCTTCCTTATTTCATTTTTAATTTTACTTTCTGACAACAAAAAGGCTTACTTAACCTTGGGTTACCGCTCACCTTCGAAAATGAAAGCCCTCAAGAAATCTAGCCAGTGTGAACTGATCAAGTTCAGTTTTTCATAAATAAAAATCCAGGTCAATTCTGAGCAACTTCCAAGTAACCTTGTTGCATAACTGCATTTCCATTTAATCCGTCACAAAAAGTCTGAAAAGGATGCGGACAGATCAAGGCAGGTAGGCTCTAAAGTGGAAGTTTCTGGGATGCAAACCCTGGATTTGCCCCTCTCTAACCTCAAACACCGGCTGGCGTGGTCAGTTCCACGGGGCCTCTCGGAGTCCCCTTCATTTCACGCGGCTGCGCCAGTGACTCTGGAATGAGGACTGAGAACGGCACCTGCTCCGGGGGTCGGGCTGGGAATCTGCAGGACAATTCTCCGTGTTCAGAGAACAACGTTCGGGGAGCGGCCGCTCCGCACCAGGCACGGGGCTGGGCGGGGTTTACACAGATCAGACAATGGGTCCTGTAGACTCGCACACAGAGAATCTTCCAGTGTGTCAGCAGGACAAATACAATGCACATCCAATTAGAAGGACTGCTGAATTTGTAATAGCTTTTTCATTGCGTCTTTTTTCCAATTAATATTAAAGAGTGCTCTTAATTGTAAAAAACGGATACACACTAGGTTGGCCTATTTTGCACACTGGCTGGACTTAGCATCATATATTTTGATCTAGTCAATTCTGTAATAAATATGAGCCACACCTGTTTCTATGCATAAACCGCCAAAGCCTTTCACCTTCGGTCTAACACCGTCTAACCGTTAAGCTCTGAATAATACGGAAAAAGGTGAAAATATCCTCTAACTCCTCTTCTCCCTGAGAATAAGCGTTTTATCTGTAAAAGCATCCTCACCCATCTGCATCTTGAACAGCAGATGGAGTTGTGCTCACTGCTTGAGGCACGAAACAAATGCAAAACATACTCCCTTCCTGTTTCTTTTTATTTTGTTCCGAAAGTGAGTTTTAGAGTATCAATGTGCAGAATGGATTTGCAAGAAGACATTTTGTGATTGGTTCTTGAGTATTAACATGGTCATTTTAGAAGGAGATATACCTAAAAAGTTTGTCTCATTTCGAGTTTTCAATCTTCCCCAAGCACGCACTGAAAACGAGAGGACACCGCCACTGCCAGCGTTCGGCCCTCGAGTGAGCCCCTCCCTCGAGTGTGGCCCCTCCCTTGCCTATCAGCACCAGCACGGACACCAGCGCGGGCACCAGCGCAGTGCGGGGCAGGCCCCGCCTGATACGGGCTGCCCCAGTTGGAGAGGAAGCAAACAAAGTCCTTCCTTAATTTCGAACAAATCTCTCTAATTCTAAATATGATACCATTGAATCTTAAATCCCCCTGACATTCGACACCTTGGCAAATCCCTATTATTCTAAAATTTCTAAAACTGGGGAGCAATGTTATTCCCAACATTAACAAATCACTTACCATCTTTTAAAAGTTTCTGTAAGATTTTCACAAATATACTGTCTTTAGACACTTCGATCGGATCATCTTTACCGTCGGAACTGGACCAGCTAGGAAACACAATCAGCATGAGGGAGAATGAAACCACGGACGTATCGGAAACAGAGGACGGCTGGTTGCTGCTGCCTCTTGTTTGGGTGGGGCACAGGCCTGGCGAACCCTGAGCTCTGTGTTTGTGATGCCGCTTCAAATTATTCAAACAAGGGAGCTTTCAGCCTCACCACATTAGTGTTTACATCGGATGGAAGATGTTACTCGTAGGCAGCCATTCACCAAATGTAACCATTTATGTATTTGATGGCAAAACCAAGCAGTGAGGTCTCTTTCCCAACGAATTTCTACACAAGAGTAACAAACCTAGTAAGGACCCCAAGGACGACCTTTCAGGGCACAGGTAATAGTGACAATACGTTAGGACGTATTGTTTTTTGTAAAAGTAAAATCAGGTAACCAGTATCTGGTGTGTAAGTTTGCTCTATCTAGTTGAGTTTTCTACTACGGAAATTCAAACCACCAGGACCACTGCTTTGTAGCAGTCGATGGATACACTATTCCACCCGACAAACCAAGAGCCAGGAATTCCAGTCGAGTGACAGCATATCTAGTTACGATCAGGAAGGAGACTCGAGCAGGCAGAGCCGGATGCTTCAGAGGGTGACCTCCAAAACCAAATTTAACAACAATTTTAACTATCTGGGAGTGGTCGGATTTGAAATGCTTTAGTAAAAATAGTTCGGCTGCACTGTCTCGACACCAGGGAGACAGGGAAACCGGGCGCAGGGAAGGCTGTCAGCCCCCAGGTCGCACTCTCTTTACCGTTCTTTTCCCGGAAACCACCCAGGCCCACAACCGATCATTCTCGGTCTCTCTCGGCTACCACCTAACGCCACCGTTCCCGCGGACACAGCACCTCCTCCGCGGGAAGGAGGTCAACGGGAAACAGAGGCCTCTGAGGCCTAGAACAGGGCTTGATCCTCAAATTTAGTAATTTTCTATTAAAAAAAAAAAAAGCAGCCTCAAGCCTTGTTTGGTAGAAGTGACCATACTTCTGTAAAAATACAAACATATATTTTTCCATGCAAACAATCAAAATTTTAAAATAAGAAATGAAGTCCTTAAGCAAATTCCTTACTTATTGAATGAAAAATTTAAGATTAAATACAACCACTAAAGTTTTCATTATGTTAGTATATATTATTACACAATTAGGTTACAAAACTATTTGATGTATGACCTAATAAGGAGTACTTTTCCAAAACCGTACCTTAGGTTCATGATATGAGAACTTACTTATCTCTCTGAAGAGCTTTGCAAAGGATTTCCAGTTTCAGATCATTTATATTTACATCTTCCTCCTTCACAGCAAAACAAACCACATCCTCATTAAGTCCTCTTTAAAAAAATACATGTTTACATTTGAATTATGTCAACTCCTAATTCTTCATAATTACTGCCTTAATTCACAATTTTAAAAATTCCCTTTCTTCAAAATATTAACACTAGAAAGAAGAGTAAGGTAATTAATAATTTGTGAGTTAGTTTCTGATTATTCTTTGATAATCGGATTTTATCAGAAACCTTGAGAGGGTTAAGATATTAAACAAGGGAATGTGAAAGCCAAAACATTGATTTATTCTCTTATTAAAAAACTTGTATTTCTCTTTTTTATAATTAGATTCATTGGGGGTGACACTGGTTAATGGGATTACACAGGTTTCGATCCCGATACGTCATCCGTACACTGCACTGGGAGGCCCCGCCCCAAGTCAGATCCTCCGTCACCGTGGGTTCGGGAGCCGCCTCCCTGCTGGTGACCCCCACACTGCTGTCTGGGTCTGGGAGTTTCTGTTCGTCTGTCTTCTTTGTTCCTATGTTGCTTTCCGTTTTACAGCCCACGTATGAGTGACATCATATGGTTCTTGGCTTTTCCTGTCTGACTTATTTTGCTTACTTAGCATGATCGTCTCAAGATCCATCCATGTTGTTCCAAATGTGTGTGTTCAAAATCGACCAAACAACTTTCAACTGCAAGACCGACTAACCTACAGAATTTTCATTATAATCCTTTTTCCCCAAAGGCTGAGGAACAGCTTTTCTTAGGGTGAATACTATCAAGAATAAGTTGATAAAGCAACACAAATTGAGGAACTAACAATGACTTAATAAATGAAAGAAAAAATACTTCAGGACTTGGAAAAGCAGCATGTTTTATCTGTGCACAGAAAAAAGACATCTGGGAACGTGAGAATTATCAGGAAGTGAAATCTCCTGACAGCTTTTCTGTACTCAACCCGGGAGTCTGGGGTAGCGAGAGCAGACAGTCTTTTCCACTTTTTTCACAACTGGCCAAAAGAGGTATGTTTTTCTTATTTTATGTATTCACTTTTGTGTGTGTGTGTAGGGTGGTATATTTTTTGAGAGAGAGGAAGGGAGGGAGAGAGGGAGAGAAACATCCACCTGTGAGAAATACATTGATCAGCTGCTTCTCACACGCCCCCAACTGGGGACCTGCCCAGCAACCCAGGCATGTGTGCCCTGACTGGGAATTGAACCAGCGACGTTTTGGTTCACTGGCCGGCACTCAATCCACTGAGCCACACAAGCCAGGGCTACGTATTCAGTTCTACAGAAAACCCTACATAAATCTGATACCTGCCTGTGATCATCTCAAATGAATTGACTTACCTCATCAATATACTCCAGCAAGTCCAAAGCTTTCTTAAAATCATATTCATTAGCTCTTCTGTTCTCTTCACAGATGTATAGCTACGGCAAGTTAAAGTAAGGGTGAGGACCAGCTTAAATAAAGACATAAGGGAGACTAGAGAAATTTAGGGAGAAAAGTCATTGTCTATCAAATTATCAGTATTTTTATAGTAAAGAATAGTGTCAATTTGCAAATTACACTCCACCTACCTCACAGTAATATTTTAAAACAGGCATACGCTCAATCAGTAATCAGTCTGAATAACCTGGTGTATATATACATACACACCCACATGTACACATACATGCTTTTAAAATGTCGGTGAATCTGTACTATCAGGTTCAAGGTAGTATACACATCTCAGCCTCCTTCAAAGCATTCTCCTTGCAATTCCCTGCTGTCCTTGCGCTTTTAGAGCAGTGCCTGTGAAACGCTGCCCTTTCACACAGTTGTTAAAATCGAGATCCGTGACACAGCGTGCAGCTGGTCTAAGGTTTACTTAAAAGGTAAGAAAACACACAGCAGCGTGTCACCGACAGTTGTACCTGTGGTTAGATCACAGCGGATTATATATTCACTTCCGTATTTTATAAATTTCCTGCCATTTTATAATCAGAAAAGTACTTGCCTTATTAAAAATATTACCAAATTTACCTATCTTTTTATAACAAATTTCACTTTAAAATATTGTATAAATCCTTTAACAGCAAATATTCAAACCATTTCAGGAAAAAAGCTATTTACTTTTCATTTTCTTACAACACCTGAAGAACAGTAATTTCCCTGTTTCTGAACATCCTTTTCCTCCCCAATGCTGACATCTCTGAACTGGGAACGTGGTATTAAAGTCGGTGGTGTGTCAGAGCAAAATGGCACGACTTTCTCCTTCCTACTGACACATAAAACAAAGGTGAGCTACACAAACAACAGCATCTTGGATTTTTGAATTAAATATGCTGTATCAGGAGAGGCTGCTGTGAGCTCCACTGTAAGAAATGTTAGTAATAATAGCCAAAGTATAGGTGCTCTTGAATTGTCTTTTCTTTTTAATACAACGAGAGCCAATTCAAGGTAATGCTATGGCATCGTTCTTGCATTTGAAATGCCTTCTTGAAAGGGATAAGGTTCACTGCTCTCCGCTCCCTGGCTCCAGGCTCCCCAGCAGCTCTGACAGCTTATTCCGGGGCAGGTACCAGGAGCAGGAAAGATGACTCCTCTTAGAAACTACGCTGCCCGGCCCCGGGGACCCAGAGGGTGTCTGAGAGTAAGAATCGGTGCAGGGATTCGGAAGGCACGTACGTGGATGAGTTGCGGTGCAGTCAGGACCGGCATTGCGCTGAGACTGAGCTGCTTCTCTGCGAGCAGCTGCTCAGGCAGGGTCTCCTGGTGCAGCAGAAAGCGCTCCTGCTCGGCCATTTCTAGAATTCAAGACGACAGGGGGCGGAGGGGAGTAGATTTTATTTTTGCTCTTCCTAAAGGTCTGGATGTAAAAAGAAAAAGGAGTATCTCTAAAGATAATGTCATCACTATTCGATGATCTTAAGAGTTTCAATTCTGCTTATTCTTGATTCCTGACTAGGTTTAAGTACATTCATGGTCTGCTCCAAGTCACACAACTTATCACAGCAGCCAGAGCTGGTCAAAGGGGGTGGGGGAGGGGAGGCCACACACCCTGCTGCCTGGAGACTCGGGAGAGCACAGGCCCCCACATCCCCGCCCCACTGTGTGGTGACTCCGTACGGTGCTTCTTCCCAGCACAGTCTCCAGTCTAACTTCGTTCACTGAGGACAGTGATCTATTTAAAAGCCACCATGAGAATATTCCAGGAAAAATACAATCTGGATGATCATGTGCCGAACCTCGTAAGTAGCAATGGTTATCTCTCAAGGATGAGGTGCTTTTCCCACCATAAGCTACCCCGGCTGCAGCCCCAAAACCTGGCTCTGCCCGTGAGAACGTGCTGTGTTGGAGGGAAAGGGCTGAGCACTGCCATGCAGCCTGAATAGCACAGTGGTCACAGCGCAGTGGCCAAAGCACCCATGGGCCCATTCACACGCTGGCCCCAATCCACAAGGTTCCACATTCTGTATGCAGTTAAACCAGACACTTTTGAGTAATTTCCATGCCTAGAAAAGCAGATCAGGAGAATACACAACAGCGACAGAAAATTTATAATTCCTATGAGGAATTACTTATGAAACCAGAAAGAAGTTATTTTTAAAAATATGATTTTTAAGACTTCCCACTCCTATGATTAGACACACTGTGATAGCAGTCTGTAGGAAGTTACTCAAACCTGACAATATCTCTATTATGTTAAGAGCAAAAGCTAAGAAGTCAGGAAATGCAAAACAGTGGCCGGAGTGCCAATGCTACCAGGGGAAAAACGGAGAACAAAGGCTGGTGTTCAAAATGAAAGACTGAAGGATGCTTCTCCCAAACGGTGAAAACTAACTTTAATAATAAAAGTTAAATGCTAATCTAATGATTTATTAAGACATTTTTCTTTCAGAGAATACGCAATGTCTCTGATCCTTTTTTATGCACTTTTACAGGTGAGGAAACTGAGGCGCAGAGGGTGTGTCAGCTGCTCAAGGGCACAAAGCGAGGCAGTTGGAGGAAACACGTGAAACCAGATCGACCCGGTTTCTGTCCTGATTCCTCCCATGACACCCACTCTCCCGAGGAAAAAGAAGGACAGCAGCGTAACCTGAGTCCGGCCCAGAGGCCAGACGCTGCGGCTAAGCCTTGCTATCGAATCCCCGGGTCTGCACGTACTTCATCGCCGACCACACAGCTGAGGCTCCCCTGCCAACTTTTATTTTGAAAAATTTCAGGCCTACAGAAACATGTCAAGAACACGGTGTGTGCTGTACACCCAGAATCACCTGCTGTTGACCTTTTTCCATCTTTGCTCCTCTTTGCCCCCTTAAATCTAATGAAAGTGGGAGACATCAGGGCATTTCATTTCTAAAATCTGAAGCACCTACCTCTTAAGAACTAGGACATTCGACCGCAATGTCATTATCAGGCCTGAAGAATTCAATAATCAATTTGGTAATATCACCTGACAGTAAGTCAGTTCACGTTTCCCCAGTCACCCCCAAAATGCCCATCATAGTTTTGGTTATTTGGGGGCTGGTTCAGGAGCCAATCAAAAACCTCACACTGCATTGGGCTGCCACGGCTCTCAGGCTCCGCTGACCTAGGGCAGCCTCCGGCCTTCCTGCTGCCGTCTTTCCTGCTGCTGGCTGGGCTGACCACACTGACTGATGCCCCCCAGTGGACAAGGCTACGCTTCCCTTGAGACTAGATTCGGGTGGAACATTTCCGGCAAGAACACACACGGGTGGTGTTACGTACTGCCGAGCCACACCAGCCTCGCACTCGCACAACGGGAGTTCCCCTCACTGTGGGCGGTGATACCCGTCAGATCTGTGCGATGAGACTCTGAAACATGAGAGTACCCTCTTCCTCCAGCCCCTTGACCCAGTGGTGCCAGCACCCTCTGACGACCAGCGATGTGCCCTGGCTGCAGAATGGGCCTTTCCAAGTCAACCATTCTCTCTACGTTAATTAGTTAGCATTCTTTTTAGGTAAAGAAGTATTTCATGGGTCCCTCCCCTTTTGGGTATCACTGTGGATTTGTGGATTTTTTAAAAAAAGGAAATAAAATCCTTTACCACCACTCTTTTTGGTATTCAAGTTATCCCCAAACTTGGCCCCAGGCTTGTGGGAATTACTGTTTGATTAATCTCGCAAATTAATCTTGGCATTAATTGTGCTCTCTGGCCCAGTAAGACTCCCCAAGACCATTTCTTCAATCAGCCCTCATTTCCTTTTAGAGAAATGGCGGTTAGAAACCAAAATATGGGACTAGGTACTGTATACTCGCTCTCCTGGGATGCCATGGCTTTGGGTCTTTTCAGTGGGCGGAGCCAATCATTTCTTAAAGGACCATGATTCCATCTTACGGCTCCGATCCAAATGCAACAATACAGTATCCACCCCTCTATCTATCTTTGTATCTCCCTTCTCCCTGGTTCTCAAAACTAGTACATTCGACCTTTTCCTCAATCTATAACATACACGAAATAGTTTCACGATTATGACATCAGAAAGTTGGGACCTCGAAACCAAGTACTTCAGAAGGACCACTACCTACAACCAACCCTGGAGTGAAGGTCAAAATTTCTTCGCCATTCTTCTCCTTAGAATGAGTCACTAAGGGTGTAATCAAAGTACTGAGTGCAAATCACTTAAATCCATCCTCTAGGAATTATTTAAAGTACAAATCACTTTTCTCTGAAGAGACAGTCCCAGGGTGCACCTGAACCGCTATGTAAGGACAGTGAGTGGGAAGCGCTCCTCTTAAAGGGGAGAGGGGTCCCCATTCAAACAGGCCCCATGAAGTGACAAGGAAATGCACTGTAAGAGTCCGTTGGTAGCATGACTGATTTGTGAGTCTCATTGTTGAAGTTCTCTTTTACCTTCGATTTTTTCTTGCAGTGTATCTTCTGAAAAATCTGAAGCTAATGCAGCCAGTTTACTCAAGCCGAGAAGGGTTTTCTTCTTTGCAAAGTAGCGAGTTTCCGAGTTCGCCAAGCCCAGAAGTGTCGCGTGGGCCTACAATAAACAACATATGAACACAGGGACAAGACCCTGGTTACTAATTCAAGTTGAAACAGACAGTAGGTGCAGCTCAGACCTCCTCACCCCTCGGCTACATCAGTGAAAGATCAAGTCAGTATCAGCAAACCATAACACCGATGAGTGCCATATACGTGGAAAAGTAATTTCACAATACAGTATCAACCACCCACACTAATTACTGGGAAGAGACACGTATAAAGCATTTGCTCTGTAACAATTATACATTCACCTCAACATCCTGTCAAGAACTTTAAAATTAACTTACGTACTGTTTTTACTCATAATTTGAGTATTTTTATTGTAAGAAAATATTCATCACAAAAAAGGTCGAGTGTTAGTTACATGTTAATCAGATCTTTGTGCTTTATTTTACTGTCATAACAGTTGAATCACAATGGACTACATTTTTTAATTGAGATATCAGAGGTAATGGCAACACTATCATAAATCAAAAATATTCAAATTATGTGAGTGAATAAGAGATACACACTTAAAATAATTTACAAGTAGTATTTTAATTACTAAGAACTAAATTAAAGCTAACTGAAACATTACCCAAATCGGCTCCATATCACTGAGTCCTTCTTACCTTTTCTAATTCTTGGCTGTTGATTTCATGTAACCAGCTGAGATGTTCATGGGCTTGCAGAAAGTCCGCCAACTGGCCGTGCTGAGCAATGGGCTGAGACAGTAACTTGCCTCTCTTCCCTTTCTCCAGATACCAACGGAAGAGAAAGTCTGAAAAATTCTACAAACACAGCCAAGGACCCAATACTACTTAGTAATATAGTTTTAAAAAAATACATTTCTGATAATAAAATGTTAAATTTCTTCCAAAGGTCTCGGACTACTGAACAGAAATCTTGTTTTTACCACTAATTTCCTATATTGTAGGATCCTCAAAAAGCGCCTAATTGAAGCACCTCATTTGACAAATGAGGACATTCAGATTCAGAAAGATCTTACTCAAAATCACGCAGAATCTAGACACATTCTGCGTCTCATGCAGCTGTTTAAACTTAACTGAAATTTAAAATTTCAGCAGCTAGGTCACACTAGACACATGCCAAGCACTCGGTGGCCACATGTGGCTGGGAGACTCCTTTGCACAGCACGTGCAAGCCACATCTCCATCACGACAGAGAGCTCCGTGGACAGTGCCGAGACTACCACTCCAGGAATGCAAGGTTTTCAGGGGTGGGCTTCTGTACCAGCGCAATGAGTCGGATTCTAGAGAGGCCCCAAGGGGCCAGCCAGTTTCCCCTGCAGGGTGGTTGCTGGATGCAGGAGTGGCTGAAAGGAACATGAAAATGTCCTGCAGGCTCAGAGTAGCTGAGAGAGAGCCCCCTAGAGGGGGGATTCTGCAATGAACATATCAGTCCCATAGGCTTTTGAAACCAGAACTGAAATAATACAAAAAAGCTGCAACCCAGCCCCAGCCCACCTCTGTCCGTGAAACTGAGTGGCCTCTCTGCTTATCCCAGCTGAAAAAAAGCATCGGTTCCCACCTTTATGGGGCTTTTATACACAATACCCAAAGTACAATACAGAAATCACAAGACGTAAGCAGAAAAACATGGGTACTAAGGGGGAAATAGAAGCACACCTCAGGATGACTAGATCTGTAGTACGAGAGGACTTTAAAATAACTACTAAGGAAAATAAAATAAACAATGCAAAATGGATGGAAACTGTCATCAGGAAACTAGAATCCGTAAAAAGAATAAAAACGATGGGCACGAAACCACTCAGTTTAGTGCTACTATGAAATGCCAGTCAAGTCCCGTCCAACCATAAGGGACTAGCTGAGTAAGACAAGTTACATCCATTCCGTGAAATTCTACAACTATTTTAAAATGTGAGAAAAAAATGTTGTGGAATTACTTGATGTTATGGATGAATGTGATGTATTAAGTAAAATAAAGAGTTGATAAAACATGTTTGTTTATAATAATATAGAGTAAGAAGCCTAGAATCTAAACCAAATGTTTAAAACAGTTCTCTCTGGATGCTGGAATTTAAGTGATTTTTTAAAATTCTTTTTTGTTTTTAGGGGTTTTCTGAATTTTATACAATTTCACTTTTGTAACGAGGGAGAAAGATCAGTTTTTACATAAAAATCAAGTGACTGAGTAAACTGGCTCTAAAGAGCAACTTAAACTCACCCACACGGTGTAAGAATGGGAACTACGTTAAAAAACAGGAAGCCTGATTTCAAACCGGGAAAAACAGCAACCTCAGGGCTATGGGAATCTGGGCTCTCTAAACGTATCATCCTGTGCTCTCACTGTTTTCTATTCAGAACTTTACAACTCTACCAATATCCATATACCTAAGGAAATCTCTCAGTAATACTCACATATAAAGAACTACCAATTTACAAAGAAACAATATACAAATTAGTATCGAAGTTAACCACAAAAGAACGGTGTCATCTTCCCAAACCCCCACGGAAGGTCTGCAACGGAACAGCCTTAGCACAGGCGCCGCGGCCGCGGCCCCAGCCCCGTCCGTACCTGGTCCGCAAACTGGGTCATGTAGCGCTGCAGCCTGCTCTGGTTGTCGGTCAGCTCGCACATCTGCACCAAGATGTCAAAGTCACAGTACTTCTCCGCCAGCGAAGCCGCCCACGAGTACTGGCCCAGTGTGACTGTGGAAAAGGATACCAGGTGGGAAAAATCTTACTAGCAAAAACTTAAAGTGTAATTTAAAAATACACTTGCAATTTTACCTTTATTTGGATTATACACTAAAAATAACCAATGGAAGAGAAACCTTTCCAGTTACTGGCATTTGGTTTCTGAATCCATGTAAAATCATTCAAGACGCAAATCCAGTCCATTGCTTCCCCACTGCCTACCTTGGCTGCTGCTCCCTTCCTGTATGTCCTAGCACAAGGCAGCCCTCCTAATCCTCATGAAAACAAGGTTACATAAACACAGAAAGCTGTACATATTTGCTCTAAATTCTTGGCAGACTCAGATTAACGATATTATACTCAACACACTGCATCAATGATTTGACTCCTTCAACTGTTCTGCAAATTCAAAGACCCGCAGCCCGAGTTAAAGCCCCTGCACTCACGGAGAGGAGACAAGAGCTCTGATCTCCTCTGTGCGTATTCAACTTCCAGGTTGCTGTATCTCTCCTGATCACTGGATCTGTCCAGGGACTTCAGCTGACAAGTGTAACCGTCCAGGAAGCAATCGATCAGCGAGACCAGCTGCTCCGTCAGGATGTTGCGGAGTTTGCTGTCTGCTTGGGGGTACACCATTTTCAGCACGATCTCATGCTGGCGCGTGATTGCCGTTCGGATGCCGGCAGGACCACTCGTTGCTGTGAAACCACATGAAATGATGCAGGAAGTAAGGGATGTAAAATGGAGAGGGGACAACCAGCTGCCTAAAAACTCTCCCCCTTCTCCACTGCTGGAAACATAAACCAGCTCAGCTGACACCTCTGTCCTGCTCCAACCCCACCATCTCCAGGGATCTTCCTGAGCAGAGCCAGGTAAACGTGAGCCTTCCTTCCTTCCTTCTCAACTGCTTCTGTGCTATTCCCCCCACTGTCCCGTATTAAGTCAACATAAAGGTTGTCAACACATCAGGGCTGGGGCCTGCTTCTGTGAATAACTACATGCATTAAAACCTGGTAGATGTGTAGTAAGTGCTCGTTCAATACGTAAATCATGGAGACCTATAAATTATCCCAAGGGAGGAGAGTGATTTTCACGAGAATTCCTCCTTTTGGAGATCGACTTAAAAGTTATTTTTCATTTCACATACAAACCTGCACTAGGGGAATAATACAGCTTCTAAAAACGATGGATCATTAGCATATGTTTTGAATAACTGCTAACAAATCAGCATTTCTGGGCTCAGTGTTGGCAACCTCACCTGTCCATGGAATATATTCAGGTTCTTTTCCTAGTGGTTCCTCTCTTCTATACACCGAGTTTCTGTTTTGTCGATAGTGACTAGCAGCTTGCAGCATGTCCTGGAAAACAATGAAATGCATTTTCATATGCAGAAAGCGCTGATCCCAGTATTTCTAAAGGTAATGCGAAGAAGCATCAGTCTATTAACATGAAAAAATCCTCAATATAGGTCTGCAGGACAACTTTTTGGCTCTTTCTGCATTTGAAATTTGTTTAACTCCCTAGTCCAACTTCAATTTTGGAAAAAGGTAGTAACCAAAGTAAAAAAAAAACACAACAAACAAACAAAAAACCCCCTCCATTATTATAAAGTACATTAGCTAAAATTAAATGGAACATTTTAATCAATAATACAAGTAGTGAGCTTCTGAGTAATTAAAAATAGACAATTAGACAGGTATGTTAATATTAACACATTTACAGCGATATATACAAGTATGTTTGTGTATCCTTCTCCGAACAAAAGGCTTATTCTACTAAATACAACTCAGGATTATAGAACCTTTTAACATGCACAAGGCAAATACTCAAAACAGCTGTTAACAGACTGATACAATGGCTTAATTTTTCTGACTTTTTGGAATGATGGAATGGCTCAAGTCTCATAAATCAGGAGTGATGCGGAGTAGGAGCATCGAAACCACTCTCTCCTTTACCCCACTCTGGACCTGGACCGGCGGAAATCGCTGCCTGTCGGTACCTTGAGAATCGTGTTCACGTTGATCACCACCTCCGCCCACTCCGCCGACTCCAAAGACGTGTCCTTCAGCACCTGCTCCTCGTGCTCCAGCAGACACTCGCAGATGGTGTCCACCTGCGACACCTGAGGGAGGGAGACCAGTCAACCACACACAACAGCAATTACGGCGACAGCAGCAATTACAACGGCCTAGAATCTACTCAGTGGGCATGCCCCATTAAGTGGTACGTACCCTCAATTCATATGTCAGAAAAAAAAAGTTACAGGTGAAAATAAATTAAAAAAAAAAACAAGAAAAGTTCGAATATCCTAACTTTTAAGTTAAAGTGCCCAAATAATTAAGTCTTTCAATAAGCTAACCCTGGACCGTTACCGGGTAGATTTTTTATTTAAATACCAAATACAGCAGACCCTTCATATCTGCAGGTTTGGCCATCTGTAGAATCCAAAATATTTGGGGGAAAAAATGTTCCATTGTCACTGACATGGACTACGTATTTAGGCCCACCACGGCTGCAGCTGTGCTGAGCGCGTACGGACTTTGTTCTTGTTGTCCCTGCCTAAACAATGCAGTGCAACTATGTACGCGGCACTAGGCAGTATAAGGAATTCTATGATCGCTATAAATTACCTAGAGATGACTTAAAGTACATAGGAGGGTGCGCACAGGTTATAAGCAAGTACTGTGCCATTTTACACAAGGAACCTCAGCATCTGTGAACTCTGGAGTTGGTGGTGAGGTTTCTGGAAGCAACCCCCTGCAGATACCAACGGACAACTGTAACTGAGATATTTGTTTGTTACAGCCGCTAGTGCTCAATGCTGCCTTTCAGTAGTACTAGGTTACAAATGATGTTACAGAGTGTAGGACACCAAACTAGAGTTAAACTAATGAATGAAAATGACCCAAACTAATACACTTGCCAATTTCTTTCTTCGAAGAATTCCTCTTCTTCAGACATAACAGAAATGTTTTTAGAATAGCAGCAGTTATACAGAAAATAACTAATTAAGTACATAACTTCTACTCGTTCTCTTCTTTTTTGTCATTAATTAGCACACGCAGGTAAGGAAGTGGTGCACTGACACACCTGTTTCCAGTCTGAGCTCACGGCTAAGCCCTTCCCCTTCATATATTCAGTGGATTTTACTCAGTATTCAGAGCTTACAGAGCATCGGGCACCCAAGAGAGTAGAAACAGAAATCAGAGTCATTGCCCTCAGAAGCTTACTAGCTAACTGTGGCACAAACAAAACCATTCTATCTTGCAAACCTGTCCGCCCTTCCTTTTGTATTTCTGATGTCAGTCCAAAGCATCCTAAGAACCCTAGCAAGAAACCTTTGGCACATTTAGTTTATATGATTAAATGTAAGAATTTCTTATACTATTAATGTAAGAACGATAATGAAGCATGTATGAAATTAAAGGTAGACGATAATGTAAAAGCAGATAAAATGCCCAAACACTTACTAACCACCCTTATTATCCTGTGAGTTACGTATTCAGTTGTTTCAAATATTGCCCATATGCTGCACCAAGGCCTGGTTCTTTTAGAGCCAGACTGGAGGAAAGGTGGGGAGTGCACCCGCCAGCAGATGCGCTATTACTGTACTCCCTGTCAGGGCTGCCAGAGTATATTTCCCCTACAGAGCCCACCAATCAGAGACTGGTTTGGGTTAACCCGCTCTCGTCCTAAAGTGCTAATACCTGTTGGTAATATAATTTGCCACTCGCAAGTGAATGGGCAAGAGAAAACTATTCAAACATCTGTCTTCATTCTGCTCATGCATCTCCTCTTTCCAGCTCTCTCCTTATTATGGATCTGCCCCGTGGAGGAAGCTGTAGAACCACTCCCAAGGGGAGCTGAGGACCAGGCACCACCATGAGAAGTTCAGATCAGTGGCGGTACCGCATACACAGTCTTCAACCTCACCGCTTCCCCAGGGGGCACTCCCGGGAGGCGCCAGTCACATGTCTGGTGGTGGTCCAGTGCATTCCTAAGGCATTGCTCGTGAGCTCGTGCATCCACATGATGACTTCCAAGTGCAAAACAAGGAGCCAGGCTCTTGCTCCATTCTTTAAAATAATGTCATTAATAATTTTTTCAAAGAAAACCTTTGTTTTACCATGAAAAATTATGTATGATAAGGCAGTTTGAGTGGTTAGATCATAAAATTTGAGGTGATTTTTTTCCTTTCATTCAGATTTTGGGCACAGTTCCTGGTTTAAAAACCTAAGTGCTTTGCTTTACATTCTCTAGAAAAACAATTAACCCAAAGGTATGAAGACAGGACACTTGTCAAACTAAATACACTCATGCAATCGACAGAAAACCTGAACATGGTTCAGCGTGTTAAACTGTTTTCAGGTCACAGTACACCAAATACTAAGAAAAAAAGAGATTTCTTGGCATAGTCTGTTATATACTACCTTACATCTAGGCTGTAGGAGGAAGAAAATAAAGTTAGAGGCACCAAACAGAGTTAAAAGTTCTCCAAATGCAGAAGACAATGCCACATGTCACAGAACTGGGAGAAGCACTGGCACTGTGTCCAGAATCAGAGAATGCCACCGGGGAGAAGGGGACAGTCCTAGTGAAGGACCGCGAGGCACCATCTGGTGCGCCCAAAGCAGCTGCTCAGCGCTGGCTCAGAACGAGGCTGTCGTCTCAGTCCCGACAATCGGACTCTTGTCGTCAACACCTTTTAAGGGAAGGCGTCAAACCTCCCCCCCATTCACTGGGCTGGCAGGCATCACCCAGGCACAACAGCTGGGTACTGCCATGTCTAGCTGCCACCGGCTAGCCAGCATCTCAATCTTTTCTCCCTCTGAAGTTTACAGGGGTTTCTTTTCCTCTGAAAATAAACCTGACCTTGAAAGTGAGATGTACAGCAGGATCCTAGCAGGTAGCTGAGGTGAGGTTAGTGAAGGGACTGTTTAAAGAGCCGAGGGCAGGATTAAGGGGACCAACAAGGGACACTGTGGCACACAGGGCTAGCTAGCAACGGGGGGGGGGGGGGGGAGCAGCTACGAAGCCCAGGCCTGAAGGGGCACCGGGAGGGGGTAGTTACTGGAAATGCGGGGAGAGCAGCTAGACAGCTGCCTTGGTCTCCGAGAGGGCAGAGCAAAGTAGGGAGGAAGCAGGCAAGGAAGGAAGCTGGGGGAACGGCCACTCCGACCTGTGACAGTGCCTCACCTCCCGCAAACGGGACAGGAAGCCAGAGGCAAGGGTGGCCTGCTGGGGGAAAGCGGACGGGAGACAAACGGAAGCACCCAGCGCCAGCCAGGGAGGGTGTCTCAGTCAGTGCCACCAGCAGTGGGAAGGCCCCTGGGGGCACAGTCTGAGCGATAACGTAGGAGACCTTTTGTCCTCAACCTTCCCCCGCTCCGGCACAATCGGAGTGTAAATGACACAGCTCTAGGCCACGTCCAGGGAAGGAGGAGGACCCGGCTCACCTCTCTGAAAAAGATGTCCGCCGGCGTCAGGCTGGATGGGATGTCGCAGTCCCGTTTGTTCAGGGCAATCAGGATGGCGGTGTTCACGAGGTCGGGCAGCCGCGAGTGGTGGTTCTTCAGCACAACCGCTGCTGACAACTTTTCCGCGTGCTCGCAGAGCAGCAGCCGAGTCGCCATGGGCACGCCTCTCACCGGGAAGGTGCGCAGACGCCCAAACAAGCCCACCTTGTGAAGACACAAACACAGACACGTGCTCGGACAGCCTTTACGGTGACACAAAATAACGTGTCTCGCGGAACAACAAGGACATTTCTGAGACTGTGTAGGACTGCGCCGTCCAACGAGGCAGCCACTATGCACCACAGTGGTGATTTAAATGTTAGTTAATCAAAAACGATTCTAAGGAAACTAGTCCCCCAGCTGCACCAGCCACATTTCAGGCGCTCCGCAGCCGCGCGGGAACAGGGAGCTGCTGCCCGGTCACCACACACAGAAGGCTCTCACCGCCTCCACAAGTTCTAGTGCGCGGCGCTGACTAGACTCTCTGCAACGTGAAGGCAGCACCGATGTGGGAGAAAATAAGCAAAAATGGGATTAAACTCACTCATTTGGACATATGCATAGGAGTCACTACTGATGGCAAAAGTGGGTGATTTTATGTAACGATTCTGTCTAGCAGCAAAAACATTTTCTAATTTTAGTTTAGGCTCAATATAAATGGGACTGTCTCTCAAAAAATATTGTAAATGAGAATTTGATTCTACTGGCACTTCAAAATAAAAAATCCACAGATAAAAATCCTATTTTTATTATCTTATTACTCTTCACTGTCTAATAATACGAGATAAACTCAAGAAAACCTAAGTTTTATACATAAAAGCACACAGGAAATCTGCATGAAAACAAGATATCACAGGGTGTTATAAGAAAAGCTAAAACAACACTTCTGCTGAAATACTTGATTTTTCTGTTGTTTATCTTATTTTCAATGCAGCTTTTATACTTGAAGTAACAGGCCTCCGTGTATCCCTAGATTTAACGCACTTTTAAATTGGAAAAGAAAATGCAGAATGCCAGTCATGTCCGACCCAGCGAAACACCTCCCCGCATCCGGGAAGGAGCTGGCGGAGGCACGGCAGGGCACGTGTCTGGGAGCCCCGCTCCCAGCGGCAGGGATGCTTACTTGGTGAATGAAGTCCATGAGGAAAGAATGAGCTTTCATCTTGTCTTCCAGCTGGTGAAGAATAATCAGTGACGTGTTGCTAAACCCTGGTGCTTCTGTTGAAACACAGTAACAAAATGTAAAACTCGTAACATACCGAGCTTATAATATTTACCGCTGTTAAAAAGTTAAGAAAAATCTACACAACATGCAAACACCAGCCTTTTTTTAAATTTGAGATTTTTTTAAAGAAGATTTATTTATTTTTAAAAATTGGGGAAGGGAGGAAGAGAAACATCGATGTGCAAAAGAAACATCAATGGGCTGCCTCTCCCCCCCCCCCCCCCCCACTGGGAACCTGGCCTGCAACCCAGGCATATGCCCTGACCAGGAATCGAACCAGTGATCTTTCGGTTTGCAGGCTGGCATTCAATTTACTGAGCCACAACAGCCAGGGTGAAAATACCAACCTTTCAATGCAATTATTTATAATATTACTCAAGAGTTTAAGAATTTTAGAGAAAATTTTTAGAGTTTGATACAATTCATACCATATTTATTCAAAACACAAAATGTTATTACTAGTTTAACCATTTATATCATTCTAAGCTTGCCAGTTCAAAAAAAAATAGTCAAAGAAAGAAGGTAAACACTGATGTTTTCTTCCTAAATCTCTAAGGAGGCTCAGCGAGCCTGAGAAGCAGGAAACCAGGAAAAGCAATGCATGCATGAGACAGTTCCGGGTTCCTGGGAACCCAGAGCTGCGGTGGAAGGGCCAGAGGGACAGCCCCCGGGGCAGGAAAGCATCAGCAGAAACGCAGGACGTGCCCACTCGACATGCTGGGGTTTGCTCACTGCAGCCCTTAGGGAAATGTACAGTTTCTATCAGCCAAATGCGGTGCTTATGCCAAAATTATCATTTAATTCAGGGGCTAGCGAGTGGCAAGTGCTCCCTATGACATCAACTGCCTTTCAGAAATAAAATGTTGAGGCAGCTAAGTAGGGCTAATTAACAGTTGTCTTCAGCTAAAACAAGCTGATTTGCCCCAAAGTTTCCTCAGTTTCTACCCTGTCATATAGGTCTGTTTGGAGCCCATCTCAAAATCTTTAAAAGTTACAACCTTTTTTAAAATACTGAATTAACATTAAATTGTTTCAGAAACTAAAAGAAAATACGCTTTGAGACGCTTTTAACTAAAGAACCAGAAAGTTGTTCTCAAAACAGATTGTCCCACACCGCCAACACCCGGCCGTGCGCACCCTCGGGGACAGACTCGGCCCACCGCGGGTCGGAGGCTGGGTAGTCGTCCACCAGGTCCACGCTGATCTGGGCGACGGCTCCGTCCAGCTCGCAGTCGGAACCCAGATCCGAGTGGGAGGAAAACAGTTCGTCCACCATCACTTGTGCGTGACCGAGATCCTTTCTGAAACGAAGTTGGGAAACGAGAGTATGAAAGGAGGCAAAACATTTTCAGTGCTCACCATGAAAGAGTTAATCGTGAAATTCAAGTCCATGTTTTAGCCTGAAGTCGATTTTAATAACACTATTGAAAACAGACAACTCTCACGCACTCGTCAGTTCATCACACACAGGTTGAATACTTGGAATACGCTAGGCACTGGGGACAGAGGGACAGACACAGCATTAAAAACCACCCCAGGACTGCACGGAGGACAGCGCTGGGAGGAATCAGACGAGGAAACAGGAAGCTGCACCCGCACCATGGCTGGGGCAGCACAGAGGGGAACCCCAACCACGGAGCGGCAGGGAGGGGCCCCCGGAGGAAGAGAGGGCTGCCCGTCGAGGAGGTGTGGGCGGGCCGGCGGGGTGAATGTGTGGAGGGGCACGCGGTGGCACAGGGGCACACACCAGGCTCGTGAGCAAGCACGCCCGCATCTCGGGGGACAACGGAAGCCACCGAAGGGGACTGAGGCTATGCAGGGAGGAGAAGGGGAAGGAAGCTTCCAAGGCAGGCCTTGTTAAAGGCAGGGTGAGTCAGTACACAAAGAATGAAGACTCTTCTCAAGTGGTCGGCGATCAGGGGACAAGGTGAAAAGGCAGCCAAGAGGAGGTGAAGCCTGGCTCACGTGAAGACACAGACAAACCCCGCGGGGATGAGGCACAAGATCAGAGGACATGAGGGATCAGACAGCAGGGAGGAAAGCCCAGCGAGAAAGGCACGCAAACACCGAGGCAGCTGAAGGGGCCCGCACTCTCGGCAGCTGCAGGGAGAAGACACTTGAGGCTGTTCCGGCAACTAGTCGGATCTGCTGTAAGAGGGTGACTGCCAAGTCCCCGCTCCGACCAAACGAGTGGATGGTGATACTTGTCACTGCAACAAGGCAGGGGTGGGGGTGGGTGGAGAAGGCAGAATAAGTGCTGGGGAAGACAAGCGCAGTGCTGGACGTGCTGGAACATAAACACTCTTCATTTGTTCACACTGGCCCGGGTCATGGCAGATTTGTGCTTCTCCAGCAAACGAAGCCCAAGAAGGAGAAGGGACTGTGCAGGGAGGAGAGAAAAGAATGGGGGACAGCAGCAACCCGCCCACCAGACAACCTCTCGGGTAGGTCAGCTGTGGACAGGAACAGAGAGAAGGGCTGGGAGCCCAGAGGGGGACACAGAGACCAGTCTTTTTAAGACACAGCAAATGAAGTTTGAGTGATGGCTGATGAGGAAGAGCCGGCATGAGAACAGCCAGCAACGTACAACTGAAGAAGAAAACCTGAAGGGGAACAGTCGGAAGGGAAGCAGGAGATGGTCCACTCAAACCGAAGACAGGGAGCACGCCTGCCCACCCCACAGGGAGCGGGGTAGGGGAGGGAAGGGGCCAGTGCAGGTGGCTGGGAGGTGGTGCGTGCGGGACTTGGTCTCTGCTGGCTTCTGTCAACAAGTAAGGAGCACGTCAGACGGAAGCCTCAATGCAAACAGCTTGTCGTACCTGCAGTACTGCAGAAAAGCAGCTTTCAGCAGCCGGGTTTTATCTTCCTGGGCCATGGGCTCATTCTTCGTGGAGGTCTCAAACACCACACTCTGTAAAATATCAAACTGTGACTTAGAGGCGACGGTACCAGAACATTTCTAATTCTTGGACTCGAAACTGGGCCTGCCTGCGAAGGCAACAGCCCAGCATGCCAGCTGGTTACCACACGCCCCGCACCAACGGTTCATGTGCGTGAAACACGCTGCAACACGACGACACGCACCAAATGACCGACCGACGTAACGATCGACCGACGTCCTCCGGAAAGGCGTATGTAACTGAGTGAAATTATCTGGGGATTTCAGCACAACCAACTTTTTTGCTCTCATACAACTCATCACAATGTCTGTTACCAAGCAGAATGGCTGACTTCAAGCTTCAACAGGATTTCAGGGGTTTTAAAGAATCGGAGTACGGTGAGACGGCCTCTGAGAACAGCAGTACCACAAAATCACATGACAACTTAAGGTTTTTTAAAAAATCACTAGTTTTTGTTGAAACTGTACCAAATCACCTGAATTTTTACTTACAGGAATAGTGTATATATTTCACATACTAGTCAAATGGAAATGACCCTAAACAGTATGATATATAATATCCTATAAAAGAATGATATAAATCCTACAGACCAGGGATTTCAAAGTTTTGAGATAACAGAAAAATAAAATTAGTGGTTTCTACCCCAGTCTCCCTCTCAAAACCCACCCCAAAGTAACCAGTAGAAGAACAAGCACAACCACCCAAACGTCTGTGATTCAACCCCTGACGTTGGCGGACAGAAAGCGGGAGGAAGGGCAGACGACAGAGCAGAGGAGACGACGCAGACCTCCATCTGCGGTGCAGGGGCAGGCGCCCACGAGGGTTTGGGTGAAAGAAAAGGACAGCACGGGTCGCGTTTCTACCAACTGGACTGCGGGAAAAACCCTGCTGACGGCACCTCCGGAGCTGCTGGAGGTGCGGGCCAAGTCAGCCGGTGCAAGCAAGCAAATACAGAACCAGTCCGTCGCACACTCCGAGACTCACAGGAAGCTGTGCAGTCAAGGACACGTAATCAGTACGTCACGTGGCTCTGTGAACCATGAAGAATATTCACGTTGTCACTATAATGGGGAAAATTATACTGGGGTGGTAGAGGCAGAGAAAGTAACAGGCCACCACAACTTCTCATCTTCTCTAACGGAAAATCAAGAGACTGTCTAAACTGGGTGAATCCAGAGGCAGCGATATAAGCAGGTTAATTAGAAAGACAGGAAAAAAATACAAAAACAGCTACGAGACTTAAATTTAGTTGCTCCTGGCAAAGAGGACAACGCGGATGAGGGGGATAAAAGAATGAATGTATTTCCATCACAATTCTTTTAAAACCGTCTCACTTTTCAGAACATTTGTGGGAAACAGCCTGATGAAAATTTAAAAACCGTCTAGAATTTACCTCATTGCTCGGTCCAGCAATTGAAGAGGCTAAGGAATCCTCAAGGTCCTCTGCTAGCACGGACACATTTTCCCTGGGAGTCACAGACACCAGCCCACTCTTCTTAGAAAAAAGGATGGGAATGCCGCCACAGGAGCCAGCTCCTAAAATACGATCCCCTAAAAGGAAGAAAACCACGCAATCAATTATACAGACAAATGAATGCTTTCTAAAATCTAGCTCCATAGCAGAAAATCATCCTGACATGCTAAGAACATTTTCTTGTCCTTTACAGTATCACTCCTACTTCAAACTCAGTTCTTTAATCCCAGATCCAATGTCAGGAACTTGCTGCTATCTGAAGTAGTGGATTCTGCGTCCTTCAGCTTTAGGACAATAAACACCAGTCTTGCCCCAGTCGGGTACTCGGCTGGTTGGAGTGTCATCCTAATACACCGAGGCTGCGGTCCAACCCGCAGTCAGGGCACATGCAAGAATCAACCAACAAATGCATATGTAAGTGTAACAGTAAATTGATGCCTGTCTCTCCCTTCCTCTCTCCCTAAGATCAATTAAGAGAAAAAAGAAAAAGGAAAAAAACTAGCCTTGCAAGGACAGCAGCAAGTATATTAAGCGAAAAAAAAATAAAATTATTTAGTCTGCAAAATCCAAAAATAACAGCTTTTGCAATCAGATGGGGCTCTCTTGCCTCACTCTTCCTCGACTTACTGAGTAAGCCAATGGTGGGGGGCGGGCAGAGAGTCTAAGCTCGCTCAGTGCCTTACTTAGGCTGTCCCACCCACCGCGGCCAAGGCTTCTGTGCAGGGACTAGGAGACCTAGGTTCCATCCGCTGCCTCAGCTGGGTTCTGCCCTCTGCCCTTCCTCTGTAGACAAATGTACTGATTAAACCATCCGTTTGGCTTTCTTCACTCCTGGACGGCTCTCCCTAAGCTTCCTCACTTCTCCCTCCCCCATGAGTCCAACACCTGAGATCCTTCTTATCCAGGGGTCTGCACACACTTAAAGAACAACTCAGACCAAGTCACTCTTCCTAACCAGAAATAAGCAATTGCTTCTCAGTTTCAGTCCTTTTCTTCTTGGCCTCTTCTGGAGAAGGTGCTACTATTTTCTGCCCATACATACACCAGTTTGGAAGTCTACCACCCTTCTGGTTTTCCAGTTCAGTTGTGACTTAAGCTACCATCAGTGCGTGGTCCTGAACGTCCCAGTAACACCTGGAGGCTTGCGCCCGGAGCAACGCTTCCAGAAAAAGAATGAAGACCACTACTGAAACCACTACGGTACCTGGTGTACTGAAGACAATTTTCTCCTGCGGCGGAGAAAACCTCCCAGTCCCCGTGGAGCACACGAAGACGGCAGTCCCACTGTACAGGTAGGCGGTCTGGTTCGAGAAGTCGGGGACCATCAACCGACACGCGAGCGCCTCTTCGGACTGAAAATTAGATTTAAAATTACATCTAGTAAAAACTGAAACAAAAATGCCTGTTGGTAGGATTTCATTATTCCCACTTTTGTACACCACTATCTCATAACAATGATAAAAAAATTCAATGACTGTCCCCATGAAAAACCTAAACACTACCTGAGAAATGACTCACAAAATATGACAGAATAAGCTTATAATAAACAGCAATTATGGAAATTTGTTGAGCTACAAATAGCAAATTTTTAAAACATTTCCATACTGATAAGATTTTTAACCAGAAGCCTATTAATAAATACAAAGAAAAAATAAAAGGACTAATTCATTATAGTTCTTAGTTTAGATTGGTAAACACTTTAGGGATCCACTTAAATGTGAATCCTTTTCCAATAAATATATTGGAAGATGTTCGGAGATTCCCAACTGCCCTGAAGCAATCGCACGGATTACACCAGGCTACCGTAAAGCAATCACACTGCTGCTTTTCCGTTGGCAACGCACGACCGTTACACCTGCCAATAAATGTGCCTTTTTCACATCATCTTCGATGTCTAGTGTCAGTAACAACACATACAAAAACACCCAGTGTTTTGTATCATATAAGACAATGTTGATGTATGTGCTAACAGAAAGACAATTCATCTTGCAGATGCCAAATTTACAGTGTTGATAAACACATTACAGTACTGGACATGTATTTTCTCTTCCTTATGATTTTCTTAATAACATTTTCTTTTCTCTAGCTTACTTTATTATAAGAATACAGCATATAATACATACACAAAATGTGTGTTGACAGACTGTTTATGTTATCAGTAAGTCTTCTTAGTTAACAGTAGGTGATGAGTAATTTTTTGGGAAGCCAAAAGTTTACGTGGAATTTCAACTGTGGGGGAGGGGGGGAGTTAGATCGGTGTCCCTAACCCCCAGATCGTTCAAAGGTCAACTGTAACTAAAAGTAGCGAATGCTAAAAATAATATAGTTGTTCTTAAAGAAGTAGTTCTACAAACAAAACATTAAAAGTGGGATAATTTTTTTTTATTCTTCAATATCTTTATACCTGTTGCATTGTCTGAAAATTTTAACACTGGGCACGTGTTTCTTGCATAATCAGAATACGTGTTATAGTTCATTAACATAAAAGAATAGATCAGAAGGTTTCCTTACAGTACGCAGTTTCATAGCTCATACTAAGAATAAGGATTTAACAGAACTAGTGCTCTACAAGGTTAAATGAAATTAACTTACAGCTGTTACGGCTTTTCCTCACGAACTCCACAGTTATTTAAATATTATGTTCAACTGCTATTAAGAAGCTTAACATTAGAGATCTTTTAATGGTTTTAATCATTTATACGAATTTTGAGAGTATACAGTGCCCACAAATATAATCCCACCTTGAGCAGAAAGGGGATGTTTCCCCAATACTCGGGGCTCAAAACCGACGCCCAGTCCCTTCGGGGACCCTCCTCACTGTCCCCTACGCAGCTCACCGCCACCACTTCCTCTCTGCTCAGCAGCAGACCAGTGAGCGTCTCTGCAGAGCGAGGGCCCAAGAAGCAAACTGCCTGCGGTCCACTGCTTCAACTTTCATTTTTCTTTAGCTAAGCCCGAGCAAAGGAGCAAGCCTGAGATCGCAACTCAAATGCAGTGTCTACTGAGTAGCTATTTAAAATACATGCAAGCCCTGCAGAGGAATCTCTCAAAGCATCTGACCCTGCCACAGTCAGGGAAAGAAAGCCCAGCATGTTGTTGTCCATTTGTGATTTAACTTGGAGAGAAATCTCACCTGAAAAGGCGGGTTATACTGCGTGACTTCTACAGTGACTGCGTCCGACATTTGGTGGCCGTTATCCTCGACTGTCACCAGAGAGTAGTAGACCAGACACGGGCTGTCTGCTGGGTGCCACGCTGCCGCCAGAACCAGGAGCCCATCACTAAAGCAGCGCACAAGAAAGACCTTCAGTCTCTTGGGCAAACATCCTGGCGGTTTCTCACAGACTAAACACACACTCACCATCTGACCGGCCAATCCCACTCCCACATATTTAGCCAAGAAAAATAAAAACCAGAGTTCGCACAAAAACCCGTTTGTAAATGTTTGACACCTTTACTTAAAAAAATCTTGTTTAAAAAACATGAAACTACTGTAAATGGTAAAGATAAGAAAGTCATCACAATTTTGCAAGTCAGTAAAAACTTGACCAATTTTTATGTGAGTACATACAAGGTAAAACATTTATGATATTAAAAATCTTAACTTTACATCTAAAACGCAGGTCTCTGAGCTTTGTGTCGCTCAAATTTACAAGCCTTTTTTACAAGCCTTCTCACGGAAGATGAACACTACGTTTAAACAGAAGAAACCGTCCATATGCAGGACACTCTGCAGGGGTCAGCAGACCCGAGGACCTGAAGGAGTGATGAGCGGATAACCCGGAGGACAGGTGGGGAGGAGGGTCTAGAAGGAAAAGGATCACTAGCCTCACAGCCTCAGTGGAAGCGTGTTGGCATGACAACACAGGGGCGCGAGCCCTGGCTCTGGTGCAACAGAGCAGTTCCCAGGCCGTTCCCACCCCCGTTCTCGAGCTGGGTCTCCACTCTGAGGACCACGTAAGGAATGTCCGTGTCTCCGTGTCATGGGCCCTCAGTGGGCCGTGTGCAGCTGTGCTTCTCCACCTTGGATGGGCAGTGAGGATGAGTGGAAACTGGCACAGTGTATTCAATTGAACTGTTTGTGGAAATGAGACGTATACTATTATTTTTACTTCTTTGATAGTTTTGGTAAAGGATCCCTACTGATAGCCCAAGAGAAAATTTACAGAACTGCAATGTCCTTCCGAAACTAAATTACTCTAAAGCACACAAGGACAGCCCCTAACTTCTGGCAAGCTATGTTTTGCAGGATTGCAAGTCCCATGTTTGCTCTCGTTACGCACCTCCTCACAGAAACCACGCCACAAGTGGTTCTGAGTTCCGGATCGCCTGCGGCTGCAGAGCTCAGAAACGACGCGGGTGGACTGGCTGTGCCAGACTGACCGGGGTCTCAGGCACCACCCTGGGGTGGACTGGCTGTGCCAGACTGACTGGGGTCTCAGGCACCACCCCGAGCACCGTTTCTAAGAGAAAATTCACTCGGAATGCAAACCGTGGTTGAGTGCTAACTTGTCCTGCCAAGAAAAATCCTCACCCCATCCTTCCTTTACTCAATGAAGCCTCAAACGCTGGCTCACTGAGGCTCCCTTGGCAACAGAAAAAGGGCTGGAGGAGTGTGCCTGGCCCCGCCCCGGGAGAAGAAAGAGGACGACAGTGTGAGCTCCACCGCAGCAGCAGCAGCAGCAGCAGCGGGAAAGGCATCTCCGCAGTGGAGAGAAGCTGGGGCTGTGAGCAAAGAGAAGCTGCGCCTCTGACCACGGCAGACAACGGGGGTAAGAACACACGGCTGACGGCTGAGAACTGCTTCTCTCTCTCAGGTGGACTAGCATCTCCGGATAAGGAACACAGAACATTCGGCCCGGTGTACAAGTATGATAAGATGAGCATCAGACGATGTAGCAAGATTGCTCGTCATTTTATAATAGATATCAATTTATTTTTCTAAACACCTACTCATATTCTTTAAGACAAATTAATTGCTTACCAGTTTTGCTTCAAATCCAAGTATCGAATGTTGACGCCTTCTTTAATGCCTTCATAGTTACTTTCAGATCCCTGTGTGAAAATATCAGTAATATCAACCCCTGCATGTAGTAATCATTTCCTTTCACCCTGCTTCCCCAGCACCTGGTAACATGCCTCACCAACGGTAGCTCAGTTACTGAATGAATGCATGCATTTTAAAAATTAAGTGAATCAGTGAGTTATAATATCTCTAGAGGTTGAATACCCAATTCTGTTTATCTGATGGCTGAATAAAATTTGTGTTTATATACATTAAAATGTTTTACTGAATAAAACTAAACGAATTAGAAACATCACTGTTCCTTACCCAAATGGCATCAGTAATGTTTTCCTTCAGGGTTCTATTTATATCCCAGCTATGCACTTGTTTTTCTGAAGACTCATCTACTTCCCATTTATTGATGTTTGAACTTGTCAGGCTGTAAAAGCTCGATCTCTCTCTGTCCCAAAGGACACTTGAAAGCTGTATGGAGAGGAGAAAAAAGTCAAGTTTATAGATTAAGTTACAACGTTAATACACTATTTTTCTGACACTCATATTTCATATACTTTATGGTTCTGGATTAGTACTCCTAGCAGAATTCTTCACTTAGGATTCAAAGAAAGGGGTGACCCTGAAACAGACCTTGAAGGCAGAAATGAAAGGCAGAAGGCCCACGATGAGCGGAGCTGGGAGGTGGGAAAACAGAAGGGTCTTCGGAGAACTAGTGGTCCCATCAAAGTGGAACGTTGATTATAACCCAAAGAGGCAAAACTGAGGCTCGAATGAGGAACGAGGGACACACAGCGGAGTCTTGAACCTAAGGTTCTAAACCTCATAAGCAAGGGCGATGTCACCAATGGCTGTGTCACAGGAAAACAAATCCGGCAGGGATCCGTGCAGTTATACAGGAGTAAGTCATTTTGCCTTTTAAGTATATGCTTGCCTATGAAGCATAGATGTGGTGGTGTTTTTTTAGGTTGGATATACAGGAGAATTTTGTTGTTTTTTTTTTTGCTGCAAAAAGCTTTATTGTTTCCATTTGGTCCAGTGCATGGGGGAGACTCCGGGGGTGGTTAAAAGGCTGCCTATAGTGGTTGCAGGGAGAGGCTCAGGCAGGAACCAGACCCTGGGGGATGCAGAGGGGCCCCTCAAAGGTGCCTGGGCTTCACAGGCTCCTAGTGGTGCTTGAGGGCAAGCCTTTCTTTTTTCTTTTTTCTTTTTTTTGAGGGCGAGCCTTTCTTTCTTTTTCTTTTTTTGAGGGTGAGCCTTTCAGAGATATTCGCCCACCACCACCTGGAGGCTGGCTGGCCTATGGAGGCAAGCCAGGTGTCACTCATCTTCTTGAGGAGTTTCACCTGCTCATCCGGGAAGTGGCTCTCCAGGAAGTCAGAGCTCAGGGTCTGCACAGGCAGACCCACAAGGGCCTGGATCAGGTTCTTCTCCAAGGTCGTGGTGGCTTCCATGGCATCCTGAGTTTAACCCTGTTCATTTGGGAAGGCTTCAGCACGTCCTGGAACACAGCCACTGTGCTGGTTTTACATCCTTAGAAGATGCTCAGCACCCTTGCCTTTCATCTTTGCCAATTCTCAGAAGAAGGGGCCCCACCCTCCAGGCCACAGCGTCGTGGTGGAAACAGACGCCCAGAGAGAGGCAGGCGTAGGAGGACTGCAGATGCAGGCTGACCAGCTGATGGCAGCCCTAGCTCAGTGGGATAATTCAGAAGGCTCTGGGATTTTTCGGCAGTAAGGAGATATGGTCAAAAAAGGGTGTTGGCTGCTCTCAGAGGCTGAGGACGGCTGAGCTGGTTCCAAAGGTGGCGACTGGAAACCAGATGGGAAGGTGGTCAGAGGCTGAAAGAAGGGGTCCCTGAGTCTGTTCCGTCCAGACACTGCTGAAGCAAAGACGTGCTTGGGTAACCGCCAAGGCCGCTGCCTGTGTCTGAGAGTTTTTGGAGTTAAGACCCTATCTCCAATTCTCCTGCGCTCGGACTCTGGCCACTGATGGGACAGAAGCAGCAACGGACTGGCACCAAGAGCCCCCAGGAAAGTCACCAACAGTGTGGACAAGGGTGTCACAACGGAAGCAGACAGATGGGTGTGGAAATGCAATGACAGGACGGGAGTCAAACCTGCAGGACCTGGTCAATGACTAACGTGCTACGAAGGGACTCACACTGTCCCACCCCCCAAACCAAGACTTAACAGTGAGCAGGTGCGCCACAAATGTCTGCACCCACTGTCCTCCCCTGGCTAATCCGGAGCGCGAGAAGCCCCGCCCACAGGCGGATCTATCTGGACCAACAAACAGATCTGGACCGCAGTCATCCGCACACAGAGCTGCAGTCCCGGGAGCGGGGAACACACTCTGGTTAAGTCCAGAGAGCAAAATTAATCCTTAAACACACTTACCCTTTTACTAGTAGTTTTAATTCAAAGAACGCAGCACTTATAAAATAATCTGTATGCCTTAAGATAGGGTATGTGAGGGGACTGGTATAAACCCATTTGACTATCCTAACAAAAATGTTTCAATGAAAAGATCAAAAGTGGGATTCCGTGTGCACTGCTGTTCACAGGGCGGCAACAGCAACTTCAGGGGGAACTTCCAACTCACGATTTCACCAAGACACAAGCTTGTAAAACAAAGTTACTTTATCAACTTACCATGAGGTCACTGCTCGGAGACAAAATCCCCAAAAGAGAAGAAACCTTCCGACCAATCCCCGAAAGCACGCCCTGCCCCTGAGGCAGGATGCGCTGATGGATCTTGCCCAAGCTGTCAGGCGTCAGCCGGATCAGCTGGCTTCCCGTTGAGGACAAAATAAAACTTCCTCCCTGGGAACAAACATGATGAGATTAGTTCAGTTAAGCATCTAAGACTAAGGCAAAGAAAATGAACACAAAATGATTTGATAGAGAAAAATCACCTATACCTTAAAACAAATCTGAAAGAATAAAAAGAGGAACAATGCTATTAAAATAATTTACTTATGAATCCTTTCACCTAATATTATTAATTCTATATAGAAGAACTTTGGTTGTAGTTTTGTATTATTAAACTGCATATTCTTTCCTGATTTTTAAATCACAGGTTCACCATATTACAGATTCAACAAATCAAGCATCAGATTTTGTTTCTTTGGTAAGCCTGCAAAGCACACATTGGCAAACCATTCTTTACAGTGTCTAGGAGTTTTTAATTCGCTCTTGTAAAGTGTTCCTGAAAGAAGTCAACACCAGCAGCGACTGTCAGGTGTTGCTGTTTCAGAGCCTGTGAGAAGGGCTTTCTTTTTTTCAACTGTTCACGTCACAGGCCCTTACATCCGTCTTGTCTCCTCTGGATCCCTCCCTGGCCTGCGTGGTCTGCTCAAAGCCCTGCGTTTTTAGTCATTCAAATCCCACTTCCAAGCCACATCGCAGCTTTGCAATAAATATAAAAGAATATTGCCCTGGCTGGTATAGCTCAGTGGATTGAGCTCGGGCTGCGAACCAAAGCATCGCAGGTTCAATTCCCAGTCAGGGCACGTGCCTGGGTTGCAGGCCACGGCTCCCAGCAACCGCACATTGATGTTTCTCTTTCTTTCTCCCTCCCTTCCCTCTCTAAAAATAAATAAAATTTTTAAAAAATCCTTAAAAAAAATACCCATCATGTACCTGCACTGCTGTCAGGAAATTGTACATCTTATCGCCTCCCAAATCTACAGAAGTCTCTGTGTAGGTGTCCTCGCCAGCAAGACTGGGCCAGAAGCGAACGGATCCCTCTCTGGTGGCAACCATGACCGCAACAGACTGAAAACCAGACAACACTCAGCAAACACAATAGAAGAGGCACCCAGTAACCGGGAGTAGTCTGATGAAACTGATACTGAAAAGCCAGAGCAATTTACTATTTGATTGGGAAAAATCGTAAGTAAAAACTCCTTTTTATATTTAAAAAACTATCACACAGTAAAACTGAATTTTTAACTACCACAGCATAATAGGGACCCAGAACAGTGCCACAAGCCCCCAGCATTCCCTGGACCGACTCCTCCACAGCCTCACTCTTCCCCCCACCCTAACTCCTGGCACCGCTGTTTCCATGGTTACAGTCTCACCTTTCCCAGGAGGTCACACAAATAAATTCACACAGAAGGTAACCTCTTGACACTGGCTTATCTCACTAGCATAATGTACCTGAGGTTCATCTGGGTTCTTGCATGTGTCAATAGTTCATTTCCTTTTACTGCTGGGCAGTACTCCATTCCATGGCTAAGCCAGTTTATCCGTTTACTTGCTAACTGACATTCGCACGGTTTCCACCTCTGGCTATCATAAGTAAAGCTGCTACAGCATTTGTGTATTGTTTTGTGTGTGAACATAAGTTTCAATTGCTCTACGGTACATAGCCAGGAATGGATCTGTTGGGTCCACCAGGGTAAGGGTATGGTAAAGCGCATTTTAATCTTACAGGACAGTGAAAATCAAGTGCCCACACCATCTTTGCACTCCCAGCCCTGTGAGTCCCAGCTGCTCCACATCCTCGTTAGCACTTGGTAGTGTTTCAGGCATCGGAACGGGTGTGCAGTGGCTCTCGGTGTGGTTTTGATTTGCATTTCCCTAACGGCTCCTGATGTGATGAACATCTCCTGTGCTTATCTGACATCCTTATACCTTCTTTGGCAAAGCACCTGTTCGAGTCCTTTGCTGCTTTTAAATCAAGGTGTTTGTTTCCTTAGGAAGCTTGGAGAGTTATTTCTGGACACAAGTCTTTTGTTGACTATTTCATTTACAGATATTTTCTCCCACTCTGTAGCTTGTCTCTTTGTTTTCTTGTCCCTTCTGCAGAGCCAAATTTTCAGTTTTGCCGAAGTGCAACTCACCCATTTTTCTCTTACGAATCATGCTTCTGGCGATTTCCAGGAACTCTTCTATTAATCCCAGGCCATCACGATTCTCACCTGTTTTCTTCCACAAGCTTTGTAGTTTTACATTTTAATCTGTGACCCATTTTGAGTTAATCTTTGTATACTTATGAGGCTCAGGGGGATTTTTGTTGTTGTTGTTGTTTTTTGGCATGAGGATGACCAATGGTTCCAACACCACGTACCGGAAAGACCAAACTTATTTCACTGAACTGTGTTTGTACCTCTGTCAAAAATCAAAGGGCCACCTGTGCGTGGGCGTCTTTTCTGTTCTGTTCCACGGTCCCAGTGGCCATCTCTTCATTAACATCAATGTCTTCGTTCCTGTAACTTTGAAGTTATGTCTCCGAGATAAGTCCGATGACCCCTCCAACTTTAGAACTCCCGCATTTGAACAAAACTATTTCAGTAAGTATTTAAGTCACTTACCTGAGTAGAATGTGCTTCCCCTGAGGGATCAGAGTAGGAGAGAGCCACCAAGTCAGCAGTCCAGTGGAAATCGCTGGGTGGCAGCTGAAGTTCTTTGCAAACGGCTAACTGCAGGACAAGGCCAAACAAAAGACGTTTCGCATCAAATCCAACTTGTTGAGTACACATCCGACTTCACTACTTCCGTTCTCTGCATACTTTCCATTCTGATTCATTGCTAGAAATATCATGCTACAAATATACTTTCTTCTCACAATTCTTGATAAGGTTTTCATCACAGCTTTCAGTAATTTTAAAACAAAGTTTCTTAGGAGATATAAAATCAGGAAAGCTTATGAGCTAGACTGGATCTTGAATATTAACTAGTCTAGTCTCTTCCAGGACTGAAAATAGTCTACTGGTTAAGGGAAGTACATAGGCTTCCTATGGGATTTTCCCAATCTAGTCTTAACTGGTTTATTTGATATTTAACATCAGCATGACTACACAGCGATTATACTAAGTTGCCTAGAAAATATTTCTTAGACTCGGACGAATGTCAGACTTCCTCTGCCAACTCATTATGTCCCCCCACCTCCCGATTTGTCCCTCACTATGCTCCTAACTACAATATCTCACCCTACCAGTGGCTCAGTTAGTCAGAGCATCTAAGAAACTTTCTTCCCAATACACAAATGTGTACGCATGCTCGGTATTTCATATCACTATGAAAATGCAAATCCATAATGCTTGAGTAGATTCAGATCACTGTCTTGCAACAATTCTAAACATTGAGGGTAAAAGTTAAGAGCCAATTGGTTCTCCTCTCCTCTATCTCCTTTTCTCTCTCTAGAGAGCCATTACCTTAGAAATAGGTGACACAGCCATCTTCCAAATAATGAGTCTGTCTTTGCAGACCAGACAAGCCCATCCGCCTTCATCTATGTGAACAGTCAGCTGATCACCCTCTAAATAAAAACATACGGTCCACAGTTCATCTTAGCATGTGAGTAACAGCAACCCCTAAAACTTCCTTTTACCAAACTCTTATGGCCATTCTTCAGCAAAAAAATTACCACGCACAAAAAAGATTAATTCACAACAAAAATACTCTTTAATATAATTTGAGTTACCAATATCCAAAACAAGAGATCCATTTAACTTTGATAACCACTTTAATATATGTTGGGCCTAGGTTTAATTTTTCTTAATTTTTGTTATAAACAGATCTTTCTGCAATACTTAACATTCATAATTTTATTTTGATAAAGCAACACAAATAATAAATCTTCCTATTAAATACACAAAACATTTCAAGGAAAGATAATCTTTGAAACAAAAGCTTTTTGGAAATACAAAAAATTACTTCATTATATGGAGACATACAGGGTTACATTCTGTATTAAGTGACAAAAACTTAATTAGCATATTGCTCTTTTACGCTTTGGAGGTAAACGTCCATCAACAGCACTGGAAATATAATTAATTTGACCACTGCTCTTTGTTGAAAGGCAGGGTGGAGAGGTGAAATAAAAGGAATCCATAATGTGCACGCCGTAATAACAAATTATGCCCAGGCGAAGTGCGGCTTTCTGCTGCAGTGGGCTATCTGCTCGGCGACTTTCTTCCCGAAAGCACTGTAGCAGCTCCACACCCTCTACTGGGGAGCCCCTGAGGACACTGACTTAACGCCCAGCAGTTTTCGCCTGGGGAAGAGTTCTCCAGGCTTACACACTGCTTCAGCGTAGCGTACACATTCTTGTTTCTAGGGACTCTTGTACCACTTGTTAATAACACAGCCTGGTGGCATGAACCTAGAGTTTCTTAAAAGCTTTTAACATATGATATATACTGTATTTGGGGGTGGGGGGAATATGCATTATATATATTTAAAACAAAACGATGCATGGTTGAGGTCAACAGAAATTTAGTTGTCTGAAAACGACTGCACCTGAAACTCCCAAAGACTTACAGGCAAGATGTGCAAATTCAAGGTGATGAGAAATACTCCTTCTAATGGAGTAGTTTAAACTTTTCTGACTGTCATTCATAACATGGAATACATTTTACATCATGATGCACTCACACACTATTTAAATAAAACAAAGTTTATTCTACATTATATGAGATGAATTCTGATCTTCAGCATTCTATTTTATTTCATTTCTTAAAAAATGCTGGTTATAAACTACTAAACTGATGTCAGTCACTACTTACAGCTTGAAAAACAACACTGCAGAAAAATCGCAAAGATCTAGAATGGAATTTTTAGTAAAAATGACTTAGGCAGGTCACTGAGGATGCTCTGAACTTTGCTCTTCAGTCACCCGGACCCTCAACCTTAACGCAGCTTTTCTGCGGCTTGTGTTCACTGCATCTTCCAAACCTCCACTCCACTCCCCTGCCTGCAGAATCTTCTAAAGGCACACCACGTAACATCACGCATTTGCGTATGGGGCCTCCGCGATGCTACACAAAATCCAGAAATGGAACAAAGACCGACTTTACAGCATTATTAAACCCAGTAACACGAGGCACTAATTTTGGGCTGTTTGTTTTTTAAGTTAAATTTCATATACTCAACTTTTGAAATTGAACTGAGTTTTGCATATGCTCTCTTACCAACCATTAAAGATTTAACTTGCCTATGCTAAAATAAACTCATTCTGTTTCTCGGATTATACTTCTCAATTAGAGTAAAAAACCACGTAGGTTACCTCTTTCTCTCCATTTGGGTAAAAATGTATCTGAGAAAGCACAACTTTCAATCTCCATGCTAGAATTAGGCTTCACTTGAATTGCTAATAGAGGCAAATGGAAAATGGCACCCACCTTTATTTAATGCTTCCATAATTGTAACAGGAAGAAATAATCCAAGCGTTTTCACGTCATAGTTCATAGCTTCAGTTACGGAGTGATGTGGCAACGTTCGCGTAGGTGTTCCTCTGAAGGAAAGAGACCACAGTCCTTCACCATAACTTAAATTTCCCATTATCCCAGTTTTCACGTATATGCTTTCACAATAAACAGAAGAGCTTCGATAAACAAGAAAATATGAAGTGGAACACAAAAACTCTGGCTAATGTATTTGGTGTAATTAAATATATTTTTCATTAAAAAAATCTGATAGGATTTAGTGAAACTTGGCTTCAGACTCTTAAACTCTAGTGTTTACATGCATGTGCCATTCACTTCAACTCTTCATAACTCTGCTTCTCTAATTGTGAAATAAAAACGTGGGACTAGATCAGTGTTTTTGAAATTGTGGATAATTTTGAGGGGTTCAATCAACATTTCTGAAAACAAAATAGAATATAAAATCAAAAAACTTTCATAAACTTTGGACTAGATTATATTTAAGCCCCCGTCACCACCAGATTTACAAGAATCTACCAGATCTGTACAATCAAGCAAGAGATTAAATGGGATGGGTGGTGAGCATCTGCCGTTACCTGGCCTTCGATACAGCAGATACAGCAGCAGAAATTATGTTTTCTTCTCAGCTCATTTTAACATTCAGAAAAACAGTGTAAAGTTACCAGTTTAAAAGTTATTCTGTTTCATATCACGTGAGGATTAAACGAGAGGACACAGAATGGTCAGGAGCTTTGTTTACCAACAGAGTATTCTAACAGGCCCTCTTAAAATGATCACCAGAAGAAGAAATAAAAACACATGAAATAAAGTACTACTTTTATTCGTTCTTTTCTCAAAGGAGAGGAAACACAACAAGATCAGCACTTTGAAGGGCACTCTTCAAACCACAAAAATCAAGGATACCATGGATTCTTTAAAAATCATTTCTCCTTTAATGTACTGCAAAATCTCACCTCAAACTAACACAAAATAATATATTGAATGTAAATTATAATTGAAAAATAAAATTACCCAATATTACCATTTTCTTGCAGGAGAAAATTCATTTTTGATAGAGGAGTTCAAAGGATACTATTCAGAAACATGTTACCCTCTCCCAAAGATCTACATTAATTTTGAAAGGGGGATTAGTGCGCCAAGTTTTTATTTGGTTACAAAACTATTCTTATCTTACTGTTGTATGAAAAGCCTTTTCCCTATTAATGTGGCTAAAAATTAGCTTCTGTACCTAAAAGCCCTTTATAATCCCAATCACCAGACATTAACGGCGGTCGGTATGCTAGGTTTTAAATGAAGAATGATTTTCCAGGGTTGGAGGTCCTCATTCCCACCTTTACTTCATATCCCGTCGTGGCATTTCGTATGAACCCTTTTGGCCTTAGAGAAACAGGCTCCGAGGAGATATTATCTATCGCCTTTACACAGATGAAGAGAGAGTCATCAGTAACTTACACCAGATCGCAGGGGAAGCAAGGGGGAGGGACGTAGCCACTGATTGAAATCCAGTTTGTTCTTCATCTCTATACAAAGGTAATTCCATGAAAAGGGCAAAGCGAAGAATCAATTAGTGAATTAAAGTGATGCTGAAATAACCCAAAAGGGAAGCAGAAGTCTGTTTTTCCAATACTTTGGCAGTCGCCTTCGCCGCCTCCGATTCCGGAGGCTTCTGGAAACACTACCCTACCGGGCCCGCCAAGGCCTGCGAGACGCCAGATCCAACCCGGGACCACCACTCACCGCGAACTCAGAGAACTACGCCGACCGACCGGAGAGAACACCACCGGGGAGCCGACTGTAGACCCCAGGGCTAGACCCTTCCTACTCGTCGCCCGCGGCGTGGAGCCCGGCCCGACCCCGCTCATCGGGCCCCTTCGGGTTCCAGGCCCCGGCGTCCGCGGAGAGGAGACGGCCGAGAACATGACGGAAAGGAAAGGATACTGAAAGCGCCTAAGCTCCGGTCGTGTGGCTGCAACACGGGCAGCGCGCGGAGCTTGAACACCCAAGGGGCGGGAGGGCGCGCTGCAAATACGTCAAAGCGCCGCGCCGCGGGGCGTGGCCAGGGCGGTGGGGCTCGGGCGACGGGCTCTTGATGATGACGTCAGTCGCAGCCGGGAACCGCCGGACTCTGCTCGCGTGAGAGTGCAGGCGTTGTCTCCGCTCCCCAGCGGCTCTACTCTCCAGTTTACTGGGAAACGGAACTGAGAGCCGGATGCTGTTCTCTACTCCGAGCCTGGGGCTGGTCCTCCAACAGCTGGCACGCGAGCCTCTCTGCGCGCTGGCTTTGCTGAGCCTCGGGATACGAAGTGTTCCCTGGTCCGGGATGAGGAGAGAGAAACTGTAAAGCTGACGCTCGTTTCACGCTTAGTGTTACCTTTGTTCTTCTCTAGGTTTGTCATGGTCCCATTCTCTCTGCACAGGTTCATTCATGCAGTTGTCGAGTCCATATTTCTAACCCAGATCTCGCTCCAGAACCGCAGGCTCGTAACAGCTCCCTGGTGGACACTTTCCACCTGAATGTCCTGTAGACTCCCAATACACTTGGCAAAAGCCGAGTTTATGTCTTTCTTTAAGACCCCTATCCTACTACCACCTCAGTTCCTTTTTGGTAAAACTGGCCAGTTGCCCAAGGCAAAAAGGAAATCTGTCCTAGAGGCATTCCTTACGCCTGCCTCCACTGTAGCTGTAACACCCTGGTATTGTGTACAATTCACGTACATCCTGAGTATCTCTGATAGATCTTACATTTGCATTCCCTCTGCCCTGCGCTCACCTTTTCTCACTTTTTTAGTCTTTAGCCTTGGTTTTTGTTTTTCCTTTTTGGTCTTCTTGCCTCTGCCTAGTCTTAGCCTTCTCAGTCCTTACCCTGTCTAGTCTTAGCCTGCTTAGCTGCTAGTTTTAGCCAACATAATGAACTAAGGTAAACCTGAAGCTGCTCTTGGGCTTGCAAACGCTCCGGCGGCTGACCATTGCCATAGAGGCTTAGCCAAGGTCCTTTGTGATTTAACTCTCGCTGGCTTTTCTGTTCCTACCGTCCACCAGCTCCACCGTGCACTCCACGTTGTGAAAAGAAAAAAAAAATCATATCCCTCCAATGCCTTTGCTCATGTTTCTTTCTCCTCAAATGCCTTCCCTTCCCTGTTGACCTCAACATCAGCTCTTACTTCAAGTGTCTCCCTCACGCATCATCTTACATTGTTGCTGCCCACTCGGTGATGACTTGCTCAGGACTATATATCCCTTTATTCTTTGCCCCCAGGGCTCTGGTGTGTAGGCTAGTTATACCTTTCTTTTTACCCTGTATAGACAGTTGTTTACATAAATCTCTCTCATGTAGCTCCTTTAAAGTGTCTTAAGAGCAGAGACAGTGGCTGTAACTGTGTGCACATCATAACATACGTAGTAACGGAGTTTCAGTAAATACAGGGTGGGGCAAACTAGGTTTACAGTTGTAGGTATGTGAAACAGTTTATTCTTGTATTATTAGTTATGTTACTTCCCTTAAGAACAACTGCAAACTTACTTTTGCCCCACCCTGTATGTGTTGAAATGAAGGAATGGTTAAGTAAACACTGCATAGCCCTGTGGGAAAACAAGTGTATGAGTTGCTGACATCTCCCCAAGGAAGCTGTTTTTTGTGTACATTAGCAGAAGGTTATATAGGCAAGCTGCTTTGCTCCTTCCCCCACCTGGGTTTTTGGCCCCACTCTGCAGCTTGTTTTTGAGCCTTGTGGTTCTTAGAGCCCTGTGCATGTCTTCCTTGTTTCATTCTTACTTGGGAGGGGCAGTGAGTTGGAGAGTAGTCATGTCCGAGAGGATATTGCTGGGATAAATGTGTTCTTGGGCTTCGTTGGACTGGTTAGTGGTTTGCCCACCACTTAGTTCTAAAAGATGCTGTCTGCCAACTCCCAAGAGCAGGAACTTCCCTGGTGTCCAGGTGTACAACTGTTGAAGGATGGTGAGTGAACAGCACTATAAAGCAGAGGTTCCCCAGACAAAGGCCCTGGAGCAGCAAAGAGCTAGGTGCATTCCAGGGGCTTTAAACAAACCCACCAACCTCCTCTCCAGAAGGAGAGGAGATCGGAGAGATTAGGAGGGGCCGGGAAGGGCCTTGTTGGCTGTCAGACAAAATCCTAGAGGAAACAGCACCCTCAAAGCTGGGTAGTGAAGGAAGTTTAGTAAAGAGATGTTAGGGACAGTGTAGCGCCCTGAGGCTCCTAACAACAGATGGACCAAGAAAGGAAGGGCCAGCAGAACCTGAGAAACAGGGCCTTCTGCCAGAGCTGTGGCCTCACATCTAGATGAGGGGAGAGGATGCTGGTGCAGCCCAGGAGGTCAGGCTCCTGGTGGTGGTGGTGGTGAGTGGGACAGAAGGTATTCAGGACATGTGCCTGGGGACAGCACGAGTCCTTCTCTGACTCCTCAGTGCTCTGCTTTTCCTAGTGGCTGCCATTTCCTTATTAGTTTGTGTGTGTGTTTGCCTTATATCTATTGTAGTTGCTTACACTAGAAATCTAGGAGAAAGGCTAGGACAGGGCAGTGGCTCTCACACTGAAGCATCACCTGCAGGGGCTTAAGCTAGGCTGTTGCGTCCTGTCCTCCGAGTGTCTGACTAGGGAGGCCTGGGTCTGAGGCTCGAGAACTTGCATTTCTGTCAAGTGCCCAGGTGTTGCGGTGCTGCCATCCCCGGACCGCTTGGTGATAATCACAGGTGTGGTTGCTGTGTGTATAGACTCAGGAATTGAATGGGACTTGCTTCAAATCCCTCCTCTGCTATCTACTATCCATGTCACCTTTTCGAGCCTCTGTTAAAGTACTAAGAGCACCCACTTGTGAGAAATAGATAATATGTGACAGATATGACTCCATTTGTGGATGCTCTAAAACACAAACAGAAAGGCAAACAAGTGGAAGAGAAGATATTTCCGGTAAAGTAATACTCTCCAAAGTGTGCGGATGCAAGCTACCCCACAGAGAACGGAAATGTGTGGAGGGCACGATGGCACTAGGCCAAAGACTAGGAACAACCAAAGCACGTGAATCGACCTCCAATTCCTACTAGTTACAGAGATGCAAACTAAACCACCCATCGGCACGGCTTGCCCACTGAACGAGCAGGAGTGTTTGAAAAAGTGGAAATAGCTCGTGCTGAAAGGCTGTGGGGAAACAGATGCCGTCTTACACACCTCCGGTAGTATCATAAATTCATGTAATCTTCCAGGAGGACAATCAGAAAACCTTATAATTTGTGGCAATTTCACTTTTTAGAAGTTTATCTGAAAGAAATCATAACAAAGAGATGTTGATAGTATTGTTGATAATAGCAAAGAATGTAGAAACTGAGACGAATGGCCAACAGTAGCCTTATAGTATGTTCACATTACAGAATGCAGTATGGTTAAAAGGAGTGCATGTACATGTGTGGAATGAATACGTACAGATGTAGGAAAATATTCTCTGTTATCATAAGAAAAGTGGGTTGTTTTAAAAAATGGCATGCCTCGTAAATGCCCATTTTTGTTTTCTAATTTTAAAATAAAGATATCTCACAAGTATAGACATGTGTATAAGTGTGGGAATCTCAAGGTGCAGATGAGCCTCCCCTCTGAACCCCCTTCCTATAAAACACAGCCTTTTCAGTTAAGGCCAAACTCCGATTTATGTGGGAGTAATCCTTGCAATGAAACGACCTCCAATCAAGAGGGGCAGGGGACCAATCAAGAACCCATTATATCCCTGGCTAGTGTGGCTATACCAGTGGGTTGGGTATTGTCCTGCAAAGCGAAAGGTCGCAGGTTTGATTCCCGCTCAGGATACATGCAGCTGATGGGTGTTTCACTCCCACTTTTGCTCTCTCCATTCCAAAAATAAATACAATCTTTTGTTTAAAAAAAAGAACTCATTGTGGAAATTGTGCATGACTAATCACTTTCAAGGCATTTACTTAATTCTCTTCCAAATGGCAATGGAACTTTTTCAGAGAATTCTAAATTCCCGTGTCATGTAAATGCCCTCCAAGCAGTGAAGAACAGGTATCGTTTTCACCGGTTCTGGAGTCAGCAAACACTCTCCATCAAGGGCCAGAAAGCAAGCATCTCTGGTTTGCAGGCTGTACCGCCCCCATTGCAGCTACTCATGAATGAGTGTGTCTCTGTATCAATAAAACTCTACTTACGGAGGTCGACATGTGAATTTCATGTAACTTTCATGTGTCATGAAGTAGTTTTTAAAAGGTACTTAAAGCTATAAAAACCACCCTCAGCTTGCAGGCCAGACGAATCAGGCCGTTTGCTGACCCAGCACTCGCTTCGTGAGGGAGACACACCGGCACCTGGCACAGGACCTAACGAGATAGGAGACGTGCAGTAAATGCTTGTTTATTTATGTTTGATCTATTGATGTTGAGAGAGCTCAGTTGTCCCGCTCAGTTATGCACTCACTGGCTGGTTCTTGCACAGCCAGGGCTGATACACGGTTACTCAGTGAGCTGAGGGGGCGGAGCTAACCTGGAAAATACCGCGATGTTTCCGATGTAACAACACATGTAACAAAACCCCTAAAGGAACACTGATAATGTAGTTTCACATGCTCATTTCATTCATCTACTTCATGTTTTGTAATGTTTACACTTGTTTTTATTTATTTTCTAACAACTTTGCCATTTTTATGGAATAAAATGGACTTCTCAAAATGGAGCTCTACTTTATAAAAGTGCATTACAAGGGTGTGGCCTTAATGGTTTAACCTGTGGTTATTTCTAGAGAACCAGTCAGGTCCAAGGTCACAAACCTTGCACAGAAAGGTAAGCCTGAGAGGGTGGTCAGCAAAATGCTAAGCTCATGATGTGAAATTTTATCTTCACATGTAGGGTTTCAGATGATTTAGGTTTTCTTTTTTTTGCTTATTTCCTCAATTGCTTATGTGAACATGCATGTGCTTCCATGGCTTCCCATGCCCTCTCTCTAAACATGAGTAAATAAAAGGTTAAAAAAACACAACATGCTACTATGCAAAGACTGGGTCAAAGGAGAACTAAAAGATTAAAAGATACAGAGAGGCAAATGAGAATGACAATATGAAACATCAAAATTTGAGAGATGCAGCAAAAGTGGTAAGAAGGAAGTTTAGAGAATGACAGACTTACCTCAAGAAATAAGAAAAATCTCAAATAACCTAACATTTCACCATGAAGAAATAAAAAAAAGAACAAAGCCCCAAATCAGTAGAAGGAAGGGAATAATAAAAACTAGAGCAGATTTAAGTGAAATAGAGAACAAAAAGACAATAGAGAAATTAATGCAATAAAGAGCTGGTTCTTTGAAAAGAATAATAAAATTGACAAACCTTTGGCTAGACTCACTGAAGAAAAAGAAAAGATTCAAACAAAATCAGAAGTGAAAGAGAAGTTACAATGGACAATGCAGAACTACAAAGGACTACACAAGAATCCTATGAAAGGCTACATGTCTTCAAGTTTGATAACCTAGCAGAAATGGACATGTTCTTAGAAGTCTATAACCTTCCTAGACTGAACCATGAAGAACTGGAAAATCTAAATAGACTGGTCAAAAGTAAGGAAATTGAAACAGTCATCAAACAAGTAAAAGTCCAGGAACAGATAGTTTCACTAGTGAATTCTATGAAACATTCCAAGAAGATTTGATGCCCATCCTTCTCAAACTCTTCCAAAAAACTGAAGAAGAGGCAATACTTCCTAACTCATTTTATGAGGCCAACATAACCCTGATACCAAAACCTGGCAAAGACAACACAAAAACAAGATTACAGACCCGTGTCTCTGATGAATGCAGATGCAAAACCCTAAACAAAACACTGGCATATCGAATATAATACATTAAAAAAATAAAATGGGGTTCATTCCACGTGCATAAGAATGGTTCAACATATGCAAATTGATCAATGTGATATATACCACATTAACAAAATAAAGGAAAAATCATATCACTTTAGCAGATGCAGAAAAATTATTTGACAAGATACAACATCCATTCATGATTAAAACAATAAATGGATATAGGAGGAAAGTCCTTCAACATGATAAAGGCCACATATGACAAACCCTCAGCCGGTATCATACTCAATGGCGAAAACCTGAACACTTTTCCTCCAAGCTCAGGAGCAAGACAGGGGTGCCCATTCTCACCACTGTTATTCAACACAGTGCTGAAGTCCTAGCCAGAGAAGTCAGGTGGGAGAAAGGCACCCACACTGGGAATGAAGAGGTAAAACTGTCACTTTTTGCTCTAGAAGACATGATTTTTTATAATTACAAATATTGAATTCTTTCTTAAAAATTTTTTTCAATGACACTTTACATCTAATATTTTGTATTAGTTTCAGATGTATGACATGGTTCTTTACATAGAAAACTAAAGACTCCACCAAAAATAAAACTATTAGGAACAATAAGCAAATGCAGTAAGGTTGCAGGATAGGAAATCAATGTACATAGTCTGTTGCTTTCCGGTATACTAACAACAGAAAACATTAGGGAAAAAATGAAACAATTCCATTTGCAATGGCAACAAAAATAACAAAATACCTGGGAATAAACTTAACAAAAATGTAGAGGACCTATATACTGGAAACTATAAGACATTGTTGAAAGAAGTGCAGAAGACACAAAGAAATGGAAAGATATTCTGTGTTCATGGATTGTAAAATTGAACATAGTTAAAATGGCCACATTACCTAAAGCGATATACAGATTTGATGCAATCCCCAATCAAAATCCCAATGGCATTTTTCAAAGAAATAGAACAAAAAACCCATCAAATTTGTATGGAACCACAAAGACCCGCATCAGCTAAAGCAATCCTGAAAAAGACAAAAGAAGCCAGAGGTATCACACTCCCTGACTTTGAATTAACTACAAAGCTACAATAATAAAAAACAGTACAGTATTGGCAGAAAAACAAACACACAGTCCAAAAGAACAGAATTGAGAGCCCAGAAATAAACACACATATATATGGGCAGCTAATTTTTGACAAAGGAGCCAAAAATACACAATAGAGAAAAGAAAGGGTCTTTAATAAATGGTGCTGGTAAAACTGGAAAGCTACATGCAAAGGAAGAAAACTAGACTATTTGATATCATAAACAAAAATTAACTCAAAGTAGATTAAAGCTGTAAATATAAGACCTGGAACAATAAGAGTACATAGAAGAAAACATAGGTTCTAAACTTATGAACCTTGGTCTCAGAGAGAATTTTATGAACTTGAAATTGAAGGCAAGGGAAATAAAAGCAAAAATAAATTAACAGGACTACATCAAACTAAAAAGCTTCTGCACAACAAAAGATACCATTAACCAAAGAAAAATTCAACAAATGGAATAGGAAAAGATATTTGCAAATAAAACCTCCAATAGCAGGCTAATATCCAATACATATAAATAACTCATGCAATTTTAACAAAAACAAAAATGGGCAGAGGACCTGAACAGTTTCCACAAGAATGGATACAAATAGGCAAAAGATATATATGAAAAAGATGCTCAATTTCACTATCTATAAGAGAAATAAAATTAAAAGCACAATGAGATGCCACCTCATATCTGGTAAAATGGTTTTTATCAGGAAGACGAGAAATAAGTGTTGGAGAGGGTGAGGTGAAAAATGAACTCTCATTCGCTGTTGGTGGGAATGTAAACTGGTACAGACACTTGATGCAAAAAGATGAACATACAAACTCATAGACACAGGCCACAGAAGGGTGGTTACTAGGAGCAAAGTGGGGGTGAGGGGAAGGGGAGGGGCGTCGATTTATGGTGACGGGGGAGACGAGCTTTGGACGGGGAACACACAATGCGGTGCACGGGTGAGGTGTCACAGAATTGCACCCTTTGGACGCACACAATGCTGTGAATCGGTGTCACCCCCGTAAACTTAACAAAGAGTAGAAAAAAACAGAAAGGAAATGACACGGATGAAGTTCACTATAAATTTTAATCCACAATATAAATGATACTTAAAGACACACTGAACATCTCATATTAGAAAATAAAATATAATCATATTCAATGGCACGTGGAGATTTCCTTCAGCTCCAGCTTTCCGTTCGCTCTCTGTGAAGCACATTGTAATAGCGAACTGCTTAGGGACCACACGTAAACTTTGTTAAAATGATTGTCACAGACGTACTGTTCACTTGTTCAAAAACCACAGTTCCTCTATTCATTGTATTCATCAGTAAATCCCCTCATGTAGAATGAAATATATTACTCCGTGCTTATCATGAAATAGTGGTTTCTTCTTCCAGTGTAACCAGGCAACGAATGATTACTTAGAACAGAAGCAGACTTCCGTTTTAGATGAGATCGGACGTGTTCAGGGTGGTATGGCTGTAGAGAGAAAACTCCCATTTTAATGGTATCGACAGTCAGTTCTCACGCCTGGCGCCATCAGCGTGGAGAGAGCACTCCTGGAGGCAACAGCGAATCCACAGCACCGACAGGAAGCGTGCCCGACTAGTGGCTGTCAGCGTTGCTTTAGGAATTCTGAGGCATTTAGGGCCACGTGCCAAAAATGTTAAAAATCACACACACCCAAACACAGTCTCACCCCAGAGGGACACGCACCCCTAAACTCTCACACGTCTGCAGACACAGGAAATGGAAAATACAAATGCTCCCTTTCTGTACATGTAACACTCGGGTGTGCTTCATGGGAGCATGAGGAGAAAAGAAACGATTCGATTTTCATCTTCGATGACACTGCCTAGTGACATATGACCCGAAGCTGGTAGAATACTACCAAGAGAATTACACAGTGATTGGCAAACCGGCCTAAAATAATTAGGCTTTTTGTTTATAATTCCCTTTTAAAAGTTGTCATTTGACAATTACTTCCATCTATAACAGCAGGTAAAAAAATGAGGTGCCATGCTATATTAAAATATCCCAAGATAAAAGAAAGTACAAAACTTGAAAATAACTTCAGTGCTATAGACACTTAGAAAGTTATAATTATTAAAACTCTGAGTAAAAAGGTCTTGAGAACAGGTACATCTCAAAATCATAGTTTATATACTTTGGGAAAAAATAGGTATATTTCAAATAACTTGAAGTATGATTTACAGATTCCACACCATCTCTTAAGTTTTTTTTCCTCTGCAGTGCTATTTTACTTTAAAGTTTCTCATATTCACTTTACCAGTAATTGCTTCTTTATGCTGAAATGAAACTCTGTTTGTTCACTAGTTTTCTATATAACCCGTCTGGCTTTGAAAGCAGTTCTTGATGTTTCCCACATTCGACGATTTTCCCCTGGTCCAGAACAGCTACCATGTTCGCATTCTTGATGGTCGACAGACGATGGGCAATGATCAGCACCGTTCTTCCCTCCATCAGTCGATCGAGAGCTTCCTGGACAAGGTACTCGTTCTCAGCGTCCAGCGCACTTAAACAGGAGAACACGTGAGAAAGCAAAGATGTCAGCGCCATGCACACTGTGCACCCACGCATTCCCTGTTACACACACACAGAATTCTCCCTGTGATCGGAAGTGTAACTGCTTGGGTCTGCCACCTATATTTTATACTATAAAGATGCTATTAGAGAAGGAGCTGGGACTCTAGAGTTCCATAGAAATACTGTCACACAAGTAGGAAAAAATCTGCGCAGTAGCTGATTACAGTGACGAGGGGTTCATCGCAAACGTGTCTGGATTGGAGCCAGGACACTCAGCTCAGGGCTCAGCCTCCCAACTGTCATTATTAATTCAGACTCAGTCCCTTTGAAAAGTAGAGGGAAAAGGACATTTTCAGCCATAACACTGTGAAGCACAGAAGAACAGTTTGTTGGTAAAGGAAGGATTTTGTTTAATACAAGTACATATAATATTAAGATATCCTCACCTGGTTGCTTCATCTAGAAGAAGAATTTTGGGATTCTGCAGAAGGAAAAACATTAAAAAACAACATAATTTTATTAGAAAAACACAAATTCTCAGTAATTAAAATAAATGAAGTACTGTATATGATACAACATGAATGAACCTTGAAAACACTCTGTTAAGCGAATCAGCCAGACACAAAATGCTACACACTGTCTGACTCCATAGGAAGTGTCCAGGGCAGGCCCGTGGACAGAGACGCAAAGCAGACCGGTGGTCCCCTGGGCCGGGGTGAGTGGGGGAACAAGCGGGGTGGGGGGTGGGGGAGGGTGAGTGACTGCTACAGGGTGTGGCGTCTCTTCAGGGTGATGAGAATGTTCTCAACTTGCTGATGGTGATGGATACGCTAAGACCCATTGAACTGCACCCTTTTAGCGGGTGCATTGTATAGTTTGTGAGTCGTATCACAGTCAGCTGTTACAAGAAAAGAAAGCCGTAAGTGTCTGAGGAAAGCGGGTAAGTGACAGAGTTAGAGAGGACTTGAAATCACGGTCACAGAGGTCAGTGGACTGGGTCTTGGTCCCAGTGCGGCTCCGTCCTGCCGGCCACCCACCAGCGTGAGGTGGGGATCTCAGGTGAGTGAGCGGAGTCTTGACTCTCAAGGCCCTGCTTATAATTTAGTTAGGAGTGTTGCATAAAACGGGAAAAATAAGAGTAAGCCGATGTATATAATACATTAAATTCTAGTTTTGCCTAGGAGTTTGTCACAAGAAGTGAAAACACGTCCACAGAAAACTGCTCCACCATTCATTCACAGCAGCGTTATTCATTCACAACGGCCCCAAACCGGAAGCAGCCCAAATGTTCGCCGGCCGCTGAATGGATGAACTGGCCTCGGGGGAGCCACACAGAGGACGGCTGCCCGGCGGTGGGAAGGGGTGGAGCTCCCACACGGGCTACAGCACGGAGGAACCTGTGCTGGTGAAAGAGGCGAGATGCAGCAGACCACACCTCATCATCTGAGTCCGTTCATTCGAAATGTGCAGAAAGGCAGGTCCAGACAGAAAGCAGGTCGGCAGTGGGCTGGGGCTGGGGCTGGGAATGGGGAAAGGCTACAGATGGGTCCCAGGGGTCCTTTTTAGGGCGATAGAAATAGAAATAGAAAGAGGAGGAGGAAGAGGAGAAGAAGAAGAATGTTCTTTTTCAGTTTTGATTGTGTGATGGTTCAATAACTGTAAATTTACTAAAATCCACTGAAAGTGCATTTAAAATTGGTGAGCTTTCTAGTATGCAAGTTACACTTTGATAAAGCCTTTTTTCCTTTTTTTTTAAAGGATTCATTTATTTTTCGAGAGAGGGGAAGGGAGGGAGAGAAACACTGATATGTGAGAGACAGATAGATCGGTTGCCTCCTGCACACCTCCAACTGGGGACCTTCCCTGCAACCCAGGCCTGTGCCCTGACTGGGAATTGAACCAGTGGCCTTTCAGTGAAGTTTGCAGGATGGTGCTCAATCCACTGAGCCACACCAGCCAGGGCTTTTTTTTTTTCCTTTGAAAAATCATCTATAAATCTGAGGAGAGTAGTTAAATAACAAAGGGGAAAACTATCATTTCCTAAAAATACAATGCCTGACTTTCAGCTAAAATGGCTTTTCCCTCTCCCCTTAGAAGTCTTGCACAAGCATTTTTAGTCTGTACTACTCGGTTGAGCGGTGGATAACGGATGATACAAGCGAGCACACTTGCGCTGTTTGGACGTTGTGATGTCATCACTGGTTCCCTAGTTGGACCACGTGCTTCTTGATGGAACGCCTGTGTGTGAAACTTCTCTCCCTCTGCCAACACCGGTGCAGTGCCGGCCTCCTAATGCCCAAGAAGTGCACGTTAAATTTGGACAGCATGCACTCAGTGGAGGTTCCCACTCATCTTTCACCAGAACTGTCAACCACATATCTCTCCTCCCCCTCAAAAAGAAAACAAACAAAGAAAGAAAGAAAGAAAGAAAAAGAAAAGAGAAAAAGAGTACATCACAAATTACAGTGACGAAAGCCCCAGCCAGGGGGCGCCAGGCTTACCTTCAGCAGAGCACGCGCGATCGCAATCCGCTGTTTCTGCCCACCTGACAAAGACAGTGTTTTTTTTAAAAAATTGAAAGCTTTCACAAAAACTCTTGATAATAGGCTTTTCTAATAAGCCACGCAGCAACTTGAAGGTCACTTCTTCCAGTTAGTCATAGCTGAGACAGATGGCAGGACAGAAACCTGTTTTTAAATATGCTCTCTCCTCATTAACCTCAAAATTAATAACATCAATTATTAGCATAGCTGACATTAATGGAGGTGTTGCTATGTACCAGGCATTTTCTTAATGCATTACACATACCATCTCACTCAGTCTTCAAAAACCCCACGAAGTAGGTCCTATCACTACTCCCTTTTTACGCCCGATGAACAACAGAGGCGCCAGACAACTGGCCCGAGGTCTCACGGTTGGTTGGTACGCGGCAGAGCTGAGGTCTGGACCTGCAGAGTGCAGGGCTACACTCTTAACCACTACACACCTGCCTCCCTAATAGAACACCCAACATTGCCAGGAAAACAGACACTCGGGCGGTTACCCGGAGGCTTCTGAATGGCAGGTGCGACAGGCAGGAGCACCGGGCATCCCACTGCTTCCTGGGAGCGCGGCTCCCGAGACCTTCCTCAGTCAGGCTGCTCCCTCCTCTTCCCGGCCCGGGGAAGAACTGGTGCACACTTGGTGGTTTGTGTGTGCACACGAAACTGACGGGTGCACACAGAGTGAGCCTCGCTACTCCTCCCTGCTTTTCAAAACTCACACTCTACTGAAAGCAAGGGAACCAAAGCGGGGGTGGGAATGGGGAAAGTGTAGACAGGAGGAGAAAGTGAGGAGCAAGTCTGCCATGACTCCCCTTCCTCATCTTTGTGTCAAGGAGTCACCCTGTCTCCTTTCCCCCAGGGGAACCAGGAAGTTCCCGAGAGCAATACTCAGGACTCACTCCTCCCAACTTGTTTCATTATAGAAAACTCAGTTTCACTTTTGGTGATGAAAACAATCTTTTTTGGTTGATTTTATTGGGTGAAAATACTTACTAATAGGAATTGCTGGACATGACAGCGTTTCATCTAAAAGATCACCATTTACAGCTGCAATGCGTGGTGCTGCTGAAGGCTGACCTCAGCCAGGGAGCCTGCGCTCACCTAGCGGCAGCGGGGAAGCCCTCGCTTCCCAACCTCCCGGACTGGGGAGGGCGTGTCAGCGTCCCAAGGCAGGTCAGTCTGCGGAGGGCTCAGAGGAACACCAGTGCCAGTTAGTGTGCTGGGAATCTATTGCTAAGTGCCCCTTCTTTCTCCCAGAAAGCCAGCAAGGACTGGAACCTTTGGTTATTCCACTCAGAAATGGAGCTCGAGAATCCTGGCAGAGGGAAGGCCATGTGGAGTCTGCTCCAAGGCAGAAGGTGCCGTGGCATGGAGCAGAGCACAGGTCGCTCCCAGCCGCGCTCCTCGATGTTCAATGATGCCACCACGAGCGGCCCGAGCGGGTTCTCTTCTGGGGACGTGTTTCAGAGACGCGGTCACAGTTCACGCCACACAGCAACGTGTAACTCTACTCCTGGAACTTCCCCCATCTAAAAACACATTTTTCATCTATTGCCTACAGTTTTTACAAAGCCACACACAACGAACTTAAAACACTTGGTGTTAAATTTTGGGTGTTCAACACTTCAAGGAAGAAGTTCAATGTTGAAAAGAGCCATTGCTCTTGTCCGTCCACCCCCCTTACCCCCCGCAGCCTCGCTCTGATGTGGAGGGGCCCATCCCTGCTGGGACCCCACCGCCTGGAGAGCTCGCTGTCGTGAAAGGGGGCACATGGCAATGTCTGTGATGAAAACAAAACCTGCATTTAGCCAGCTGAAAATGTATTTCCCTCTCAGCCCTACTCTTCACCCCACTCCTGGACTCTGAAGCAATAGAAAACAAGTTTTCTTTGTCCCTCCTGAGGGCCTGGCGCCCATAAGGTAACACACCCCATCAGACTTGCTGCACCCACCGGGAAGGCGGCTGCGCCCGGCACTGGGCCCGCAAACCGCATGCTGGGCGCCAGGTCTGAGCCAGGACCTGCTCATGCGCAGCCCTCAAGCTGAGCGTGGCTCGTACATTTTACTCGGTTGTTTAAAGAGCAACAGAGAGGAACACTGTGTTCAGAGGCCACACGTGACCCATAAAACCTAAAATATTTATTCGCTCTCTGGCCCTCTCTTGGAAAAGTCTGTCGACCCCTGGCCTAACGTGTACAGTGAAACCTGGGGAGTAAAGAACTCTTCAAGTTCAATTCTGTGGCTGAGTCAGTCTCTGCCGCCCTAAGCAAACGGCCCGGCCACCCGGCATCTCTTCTCAGACGAGGATAAAAGCTGCTGCGGTGGCCGGGCTCCGCCACAGCGGGACATTCCCACAACGTGCAGCGGGACATTCGGTGGGAACTCGGGCGCATCTCTGGGGTGGAAACCGAAGGAAGCTGAGGGGCTGTCCGCGGGAGCAAGAGATTTTTATAAGCTGGAAAGTCCGATTTCATGACCTCGAAGGACAAAACCCTCGCTGAAAAGTGAAACTGCCACGGGAATGTTCGGAGACGCCTGCGGCGCAGAGAGGTTTGGCTGCGACGCGGGAGCGACGGGTACCTGAGAGCAGGACGCCCTTCTCTCCGACCACAGTGCCGAACCCCTGGGGGAAGTCCCGGATGAACGCCGCCGCGTTGGCCACTTCGGCCACTCTCTCCACCTGCTCCGCCGTCACCGCGGAGGGGTCGTCTGCGCCGTAGGCAATGTTCTCAGCAATTGAGCAAGAAAACAAAATTGGTTCCTACAAATTGGAAATAAAGCGTTTATCGCAAACTTGAAAACAAACATCACACCTGTCTAGCAAACACAGTGGAGCTCAGTAGGGTAATTATATCTAAGAAAGTGTTACATTGCTCCAAAAAGTGCATGCCAGTTTCTTTTCTTTTTCTTTTTTAAATTTTACTTTTAGACAGAAGGGAAGGGAGGGAGGAAGGGAGAGAAACATCAATGTGTGGTTGCCTCTCACGTGCCCCCACCGGGGACCTGGCCCACAACCCAGGCATATGCCCTGACCAGGAATCAAACTGGCAACCCTTTGGTTTGCAGGCCGGCACTCCATCCACTGAGCCACACCAGCCAGGGCCATGCCAGTTTCTATGTTCTATTTCTTCACTCTTCATAAATTCACCCAATAGATTAAAAATTCATGTATTATTGTAAATAGGACTGACTTTGTCACCTGTGGTTCTCACCATACTATTGGAAACGAGATCCCACAGCAGATGTCTGCACAGTGCCTGGCACACAGTAGGCACCTTGTAAATGCAAGCTCCCTTTCCTTGGGAATTGTAAGGCACTGGAAGACCACAAGCCCATCTGTATTTCCCAGCGGCCTGCTTCCCACGGAGGACATTACTTTTTGCAATATACACACCCCAGATGGGAACATGACATTTTGACAGAACTCTGTGGAATGATCCCCCAAAGCAAATAAACTTCCAGCTTCTTCTCTCCAGCCCATAAACGATACGCACCGCTGGAATCCTTACACTACTGAGCGTGCCCTGTCACTGCCCCACCTGCCCCCACCTTGGCGGAAGGGCTAAGGGTCAGGTCTGGGGGGAGCTCGTCAGAAGCAGAGGCTCAGGCTGGTCTGCTGTGCGCACAGCCTGGTGATGGAAACACAAGTGCTGTGTCAAATCTCCCTGCACCGAGGGGTCTCATGAAAACAGCCTCGGCAAAGTGACCCCATCCCATTGACATGCTGCCTTGAAGACTGCAGCCTCTTGGCAAGGGGACCCTGTTTTTTTGCTAAAACCCATTATGCTCAATAGTAGACTATGGGGGCTAATAAGAACAGGAATCGGGGAAGAGTCAGCAGAAGCTAAGAAGTTAGCTTTTCTCCCCTTCTTCTAGACTATCTGTATTACAAATTCATGTCAGTGCCAGCTTTTGATAAAAAGGCAATGCTTCACTTGGACAAGTGTTGTTTTTTTTAAGTGGGTTTTCTTTCTTTATTTAAGATTTTATTTATTTATTTTTAGAGAGGGAAGCGGGGGAGAAAGAGAGAGAGAGAGAGAAACACCAATGTGCGGTTGCTGGGGGCTGTGGCCTCCAACCCAGGCATGTGCCCTGACTGGGAATCGAACCTGTGATGCTTTGGTTCTCAACCTGCGCTCAACCCACTGAGCTATGCCAGCCAGGGCTGGACAAGTGTTTAAGGTCTCAAGGAAGCAGCAGTATTTACAGACCAGGCAATCTGCCATGGGAGACTGGTTTCATACACCTGGAAAACTTCCACTCTTTCTCTTTTGAGAGATTCTAGGCCAAGCAAAACAAATGACAAAAGCAGTTTTAAGAGAAAGTACAATGAAAACAAACCCCACTCCTCTTACCTGATTCACGGCCCCAATCTTGGACCTCAGCCAGACTGGATTTAGCTGACGGATGTCGTGGCCATCGAGACTGACCGTTCCTTGTGGAGAGGGAAGGAGAGTCACGGAGCGTCCTGACTAATGCATCACAGGGCCAGGGACTAACGTAAACACAGAGCATCTGGTGGGAAAATGCCAGGCTCAGCTTTCAAAAGACTGAAAGTGTGCTCAGAGCCTCCAAACAGAACCTAAACCGGCGTACGGCGCGGACTCTCAGAGCAAACAGGGCCTTTCTGGGTAGCCCACACCTGCTGGCCCTGCAGGGGTGGCTGGCCAGCCCAGGGGTGTGGGGGGGGCTCATCCATCCCACTCGCCTTCCTGCAGAGGCTGCAGGGCTTCCTGCAGTGACGCAGGGCTGCACAGGAAGAGGCGCCTGTGCAGAGCTCTGATTCGGGCAAGATGTAGGCGGGAGAGGTGCAAGCTGTGAGGTGTGCACTTGCACAAACACTAGCAGAGGTGGCAGAGCTCTGCAGCTGGCACCCAGGACGGTGGCTGCCTCATTCTGCAGCTTCCTGACCGTGTCACCACCAGCAGCTGCCTTGGAGGCCTGCCTCTGCGGTGACTCTCTGGGAAGCGGACTGGAAGTTCAACTCTGCCTGTGGTTTCTGAGCTCTTTCATTATTACTCCTTCGACTACCCCTTCCCGCACTAAGTCAGCTGGAGCAGAGTCTGTCATCTGAAACGAAGAACCTGATGGCTACTGTGGCCGTGTCTGAACATTGAGACAAAACGCTGGCCTCAGAGAACAGGACTAAATTCTGCACATCGTGGGACTCGATGATGCCGGGCGACGACAGGGGCTCGCATGAGAAATGCCGTTGCTTCTCAGTGAGCAGTGGCGGTCGTACAGCCAGCGGTCAACTTTCCCAAGCTGGCGAAGCCTGAGGCCTTCCACTTTAAACATGCCAGCGCTCCACAGGCCCCGAAGCGGAGAGACTAGAGAATCAGCATTTGGACTTACATAACCTAACTAGGATTTCTCTGAACTCAGAACTGGTAGCAAGTAGAGAGTCAGCCAGACCGGGACCCCAGAGGCAAACAGCGCCGTGACACCCTTTGCACACAGCTGGTGACTCTGTGGTTCAGGCTCTGTGCGTCGGAACACGTGCCTGGCACAGAACCAGCTCTCACAGTGTTTTAAACAAAACACACAGGTAAGCGGACCACAAGACATACTCTTTTTAAATTCATGATCTGATTTTTACTAGCAGTTGTCTTCTCTTGCTGAAAACCATCATTGTTTTCTCAACCCAGAATGAAATCAGTGTATACAGAATGTCTGCTCCAGGATCCGATAAGGATATAAACCTTGTAACTATGTGTGGTGATGGATGTAAACTTGACGTGTTGTGAGCATTTTGCAACATACACAATTACCAAATCATAATGTCCTACACCTGAAATATGTTATGTCAATTGTATCACAATAAATAGGATACAAAGAAGTAAAACAATGTGTTCCTTGCTCTAAAAGATGCTATAATCTGGCTAAACATCAAATAAAAACCATTAAAAAAATCCCTACTTTCTCAAGAGGCTCTCGTGGAGCATGGCAGAGAAGGGAATTGTTGGGAGTCGCCCTGCCTGGTTTCAGAAGCTGTGACCCCCCCCCCCCCAATGGCTAAGGCTGAGTGAGAGACCTGGGGACCACAAGCCACTTAGGGGACAAAGCTTATCTTCCTTGTAGGGGTACCGCCTCTGCCCCCTTTCTCTTCACCCTGCTTGGCCCCAGGCAGATGACTGGTTAGCCAATGATGGGTAAGATTCCTCAAAGGGAGGGACAACCTAAGACAGGCCTGGTCTCAAAGGGGCCCTTAGGGAAGGACTTGGGGGGCTATAGCAAAAGGGGGTGATGGACCCTCGCCCCTCGGCTCTGACAGAGCCTGAGTCCTCATTCTGTCTGCAAGAAGTCTCCTAATCTCTTGGCTGCCTTACTTCCCCTGCCTGACTTAAGCCTGAAACAATGCCGGAGCTGGGTGCCGCCCTGTGCGGGAAAGGGCAGGTTCCCCAGGGTGATCAAGACTGAAAAACAATGCATAAAATCCTGTGAAGCCTGCTTTGCTAATACCCTCAATTTAAATGATAAGGGTCCAAGCAAGAAGTGAGTGTGTTCCCCAAAGTTTTATGGCCCTTTAACTGACCTTGACTCAGAATAAGCCTTCGGAGTTCTTTGGATGTTATCTATTGTTTAATCATTTCTGCCTGACAGTGACTGATGAGCTTTACATATCCACCCTGTATTCCTGTGAAAATTGAACCTGATAAAAGCCTGTTGAGACAGAGTCAGGGCACTCTCCCCTTGAGAGAGTGGCTGGGCTGTCCCTTTTCCTCCACAGGACTCGGTAGTCCATGTGAACTTGTCTCCTCTCATCCACAATGCCTCGGGCACTGCGGGCCGGTGTCCGCCGCCTCAGAGGATCACTGAGCAACAAATCTGTTTGCTCGGGAACCTCCGAGCTTCCGGGGAGCTCCCCAGGGCCCCGGACTCCGTCTGTCGGAGGGCCTAGGGTGCAGGAGGAGGAGGAGGAAGAGTGGCGGCAGTCACTCAGGACTTGAATCTGACTGACACACACAAGACGCCTGGAGGGCCTTCTCTGGGAGCTGCCACCACCCTACAAGGGGCACCTGTGTCGAAGGGACTCCTTTCCCGGAAACGAAGCCTCTGGCACTGGGAACTCTCGCACACAAACTTTCCCACTGCCTGACCCTTCTTCGGGGCGCAGGAGAGAAAAGGGCTCGGACAGCCCTCTCGCCCCACCGTGTGGCAGACTCACCAGACACGGGGTCGTACAGCCGCAGCAGCAGGGAGAGCACCGTTGACTTGCCGGAACCACTGGGGCCGACCAGCGCGGTGACGGACCCTGACGGGATAGAGAGGCTGAAGTCCTGGAAGATGGGCACCTCTGGGCGGGCTGGGTAGGTGAAATGCACATTCTTAAACTCCAAAGTCCCCTGGAAGCTTTTCTCGTTCAAGGTGAGTCCCTCTGAAACACAAGAGGGAATACTACTAATTACTCATCGCAAAGACCAGAGTCACAGCTGACCTCTGTTCCCACCCGTCTGACTGCAGGTGACGCCCCACGTCGGCTGGCCCCGGTGTCAGCACTCTTGCTGGGCGGGTCAGGAAGAGGCCTCCGTCTGAGGCGCACCCTGAGCCTGCTCCTGCAGGCACACTGTCCGAGGCGCTACGCATGCGCTGCCCTGTTTCATTCCCACAGCCCTGAGCAGTAGGAATGACTGTCCCGGCTCCATGGACTGGACACTGCAGCCCAGAGACAACGACCTGCCCGAGCCACCGAGTCCTGGGGCCGGTGTCCACCCCCCTGTGCTGCTGCCTCTGTGGCTTGCTCGCCCCAGGGCCGATCCCACCAACTCTCCGTCAGTGCTTTGAGAGAATGTTGATATGCACGTGGGCACTGCACGACAGCCAAGGAGCCAGGCGGGGGGGCGGGGGGGGGGCGGTCAGGGGTCTATGCTGTCCTGGTATCACCCTGAGCTTACTTCCTCCGGCCCACGATCCTGGAGAATGCCGGGTGTTCACTAACGTCCCAGGAGCCGTGAGGCCTGGGGAGTGGGTACTGCTCACAGCCTCTTCTCCCCCACGCTGGCTTCCAGGGAAGCAGCCGATGGAGGAGACGGCTCTAGACGAGACCATTAGTATCAGCACTCCCCACCCCATGTCCAAAAGCCAAGACATTCGAGGGTTTTATACGTGAGATGCCTCTTCCTTCTCTTCGGTCCCCCACACAAACATCGAAGTCACTAAGGGAACAAATCTGGTGGACTGTCCAGGGCCCTTCCTCCGGGCACACCTGGGCTGCCATCCTGCTGTCTGTGGTGACCAGTCACCTGCAGGGAAGTGAACAGTGGGTGGCAACCCAGCGGTCAGCCCTGCGCTTGCAGGGGCATCCCCGGGCCGGCCAGCAGCTGTCCTTCCTCGCCTCCCGCCCGCCCCTCTGATGACTCTTTCCTGCCACTGGCGGGGGTGACGTCCTTGTGAGGCCCGTCCTTCCCATGCAGGGCAGGAGGCTGGCCCAACTGTCCGAAGCCACATTAGTTAAATCCCAGCGCAAAGGGACGAACGCACTGCAGACCCACCGTTGAAAGGAAGCTCAGGCTTTCTCTCGAGGAGCTCCCAGAGGCGTCCCCCGGCGCCCAGTCCTTTCATCAGCTCCGAGTAGAAAGAGCTCAGACCTGAGGAGGGGAAGCTGAGATCCATCACTGGTGCCAGGAAACAGCTGCTACTCCTCTACTGCCGGCCGGGACGGGTAACGACTTGCTTGCAACATAAAACCTGTTACTTTCAAAACAGGATTGGAGGCAGCTACCTGGAAGCCGTGTTCAGAATTCCCTGTCTCTTACCCTTGTCTTCTTTCAGCTTCTACTCCTCCAATTTCATTGATTTCTAATGAGGACTTAATGGCTGATCAGGAGATTTACACATACATACAGCCATAGTAATTGGCCGCTGAATTAAAGTCCCAGTGTTATGCAGGAGATCCTACCTAGTCGAAAACAGCAATATAAATGAAATATGATGCTTATCCTATGCTTAAAAGGAAAATGCAATGTCCCAATACTCACTTTAAATTCATATCCACAAAAACCAAACCTCCCTTTTGGGCACTCAAACATTCAACTTCTCCTAGGCCAGAAACCTGAACGGGAATCTGGAAATGTTAAATATTCTAAGCATCTCTTCTCAAAGCCTCGTTCATCACATTCGGTGGGTCGTCTTTTGTTTTATTGATGGTCTCCTTCACTGTGCAGAAACTTTTTAGTCTGATGTAGTCCTATTGACTTTTTCTTTTCTTTCCTTTGTCCTGGGAGACACAGCCCCCAAAATATTGCTAAGACTGATGTTTTCTGTCCATGATTTCTTCTAGGAGTTTCATGGTTTCTGTTCTAACATTTAAGTCTTTAATATATTTTATTTTTGTACAATATATGATGTAAGAAAGTGATCCACTTTTAAAATCTTTTTTGCATATATGTACTCTGTTTTCCCAACACCATTTACTGAAGAGACTGTCACTTCCCCATTGTTTATTTTTGTCTCGCTCTTTGTAGATTAATTGACCGTACGACTGTGGGTCTATTTCTGGGCTTTCTGACTTGAACAAACATTTCTCCAAAGAAGACACACAGATGGCCAACAGACATGAAAAGATGCTCAACATCACTGATTATCAGGGAAATGCAAATCAAAGCCACAATGAGATGTCTTGTCACACATGTCAGAATGGCTATGACCGAAAAGTCAACAAATAATAAGGGGAACTTGCGAGCAATGTTGGTGGGAACATCAAATGGCGCAGCCACTGTGGAAACAGTGTGGAGGGTTCTCAAAATATAAAAAATATAGAATACCAAATGACCCCGCAATTCCACGTCTGGGCATCTATCCAAAGAGAATGAAAACAGTAGTAACATGGAAAGATATACACGCCCCTGTGTTAATTACAGCATTATTTGCAATAGCCAAGATATGAAAGCATCCCAGGGCCCGTTGATAAATGAATGGATAAAGAAGCTGTGGTATATGTACACAATGGAATATTATTCAGCCATAAAAAAGGGTAAAATCTTGCCACTTGTGACAACATGGACGAACCTGGAGGTTTATTATGCTGAGTCCAAAAGTCAGATAAAGACAAATACTATATGATTTCACTTACATGAAGACCAGAGGTAGTTTCTCTCAGGTCAAGCAGTATGGAGAAAAGAGGGTAGGGGGAGAGGAGCGACTGAGAAAGAACAAATGGACGGTGGCAGAAAACACGAGATGAGGAAGCTGACAGCACACACGTGTGGAATGTGAATGGAAAAGCCACAGAAAGGGAAGTGGTGGCAGGCAGACCCACTCTGAGGTGGGACAAGAGACATTAAGGAACACGACCTCACAGCTGTGGGACCCTACCGCCCAGCAGGCTCACCCGGGGAACGGGAAGGAAAGAGCACACCCCCAGCTGTCCTGGGTCCTCCCGCCTCACCCTCCCGCTCCTCAAATCACTCGGCCACCTGAAGTGTCTTCATCGGGTTTCTCTCCAAACCGGCCAGAACTCAGATGCTGCTTTTTGGGCACTCTGGAAACCCCAGCCTAGCAGACACCCTTGCTTGTCCACAGATGCCTAAGGAATAGCCTCTACCTTTAACCAGCAGATACAAAATTCTGAAAATAAAATCTCACGCTGACGTGGGGTTCTCAAGTTCCATCCATCAGACCTCAAGCTATTTATCTAACCTTTCCACCTTGGTTTTCAAAGAGGAAGAAAAACAGAAAGCAGGAAGCCGTTCGCCCCGTTGGCTGGGGAAGCAGGAAAGCTGCCGGAACTTCCCAGGCGTCACACGGCTCTGTCTCCCTTCACCCAGGAGAGGACAATAGGAGCTGAGCTCACAGAGTCTCGACAGGAGCGAGCCACTCTGTCTCAAATGCTTTCTAATCTGTACTTTTTGACTGCTCATTAGTTTCGGACATGCTCGACTTTGCACAAAAGGGCTGTCATTCCCCAGCCATTTGCCAACCACGACACGGTCCCTCCCACAGGCCGGTCCCTCCCACAGGCCGGTGGGCTCCCTGTGCGCACACCTGTCCAGCGCCGTCCTTTCTCTCCCCACGTTCATTCCACGAGCAGAGCAACGAGCTCTGCAGGTTAGAAGATGCTGCGCCCGAGTGGCCCTGAGCTCAGTGAGGGGCAAGTGGCCTCCCCAAAATCCTAAACTTCCCAGCCAAGCAACCGCTTGCCTCCTTGGGAGGATCACACTCATATCCTTACTTTTTTCTTTTAAAGTCAAGTTGGAATGACTTTCTAGAAAATGGCTTTTTCAGGGGGAGTAAATTGCTGAGAGATGGAGTAACAGGAAAGTTAAGTTTTTGTTCCAGAAACTGGAATTTGACATTCTCCGTGTAACTCCCCGAGCCCATGTAGATTATATACCTGCAATGCTTAGCCCGACCCAGAACGTGTACAGCAGGAAGGAAGAGAGCTCGCCCACGGTCATGTGGGCGCTGCCCATCAGCAGCCCTCCTTTGTACAGGACGGACAGCACGATCAGGTTCCCGGAGAGCCCCGTCTGTCGGAGGAAGAAAACACACGAGTCAGGGGGGACCAGAGACCCCAAATGCAAAAGGCATTAAAATGGACTATCATGTCCTCTCTGCACTTCATTAGCACGGCAAGATCTTTCCACAATATTATGTTTTTATCTAAATTTCAAATAAAAATACTTTTGAAATATTGCAATATTGAAAGAGGAATTTCATCGGCATGGAAACCTGGAAGCTAAATCGCCCATTGGATTCCTGTTTTACTCTGTCTGCTCAGTTTGCAGAGGAAACACTCGTATCAGGGATTCGTTCCCTAACTGGAGGGAATACACACACAGCCAGCACATGTGTTTGTATGTTCTCACGTGACACACTGGGCAAAGGCCGGACCTCCGGCCCACCTCGGCCTGTGTGGGCTGGGTGGTCCCTGGTAAGCGCTGCCTTCTCCGGGCCTCTGTTTCCCCATCTGTTGAGTCGCGGCCATTACTGAATCACCTCTAAAATTGTTTCTGGTTTGAACGCATTATGCATTTGCCCTCATGGTGACTCTCTACTTCAGTGTCCAATGTGAGTTCCCTGTAATCAATTGTTTTAGACTTTCTTCTTGAAATACACGGAAGCTCTCCTGGTCACTCCTCAGCAGGTCTCAAACTGCCTGCACCAGAGTGACGTGGAGGAGCCGGTGAATCACACACTGCCGCCCTGCCCCCACCCCCCGCCCCCCTTACCCGCCACAGAGAGTCCAATCCAGCAGCTCCCAGTGAAGCGGATGCGGCCAGTCTGGACCACGCTCTGAGAACCAGGGCCTGGTCCCTCACTGTTCGGTCTCCCCACCCATTCATTGCCTTTTCTCCAGTTACATTTTCTTGTTTTCTTCTTCTTTCACAAAAATATTTTAAGGAAGGCAATTCTGAGTCTCGAGGTAGAATAGAATCATTTTCTATTTATGGCAAGAGTCACAGAGTAAAATCTCTGCTAATTGCAACATCTTTTTTCCCTCTTTCCAAAAGGCTGTACTCACAGCTCCGAAGAAGCCGGCCCGGGCGAGCGCCTCTTTCCTCGCTAACTGCATGATGTAGTCCACTTTGCTGCTGTATTTCTCCATTTCCGTGCTTTCCTTCCCAAAAGCCCGGACAGTTCTTATATTTCCAATACGTTCCTCAGCTAGCTGGGAGAATAACAAAACCATTTCAGGGGGAGCAAGGCCACATTCCCAGAGTTCCAGAGACACAGGTAAAAGATAGTTCTCATTTTTAAGACACTATCGATGGAATGGCTTGTGAGACATGACTAAGTCACAATTAGATTGCAAAGGATCTAGAGAACATTCTTATTTTTGGAAACACAGAGCTATACACATGCACATCATATACAAAGGTAGAAGACAGATAAACAGGAGGGTAGGTAGCTGGATACGGAAATACATCTTTACGTGGAGGAAAAAAATATTAAAAGGACAAAGTCCAAAATGTTAATAATAATTGAGAAGTAGGATTACACATGCTATTTTTCGTCTTTACATTTTTAAATTTTCAATTGGAAACATTCATGGTTTTTGCAATATAAAAATAGAACAATTATTTTAAATTTTTTGAAAGGCAACATGGACAGCAGTACAAAGCTACCCTTATTAATTCATGAAGAACAGAGCGTCATCCACAAAGTTTTGAAAAAATGACTAGCTTTTTTGTTCTACTAGAAATAGTGATGGTAAGAAGTAAGAAATCCGTACAGTGTTCCAAGTTAAGTTGGGTCTATTTGACATGTGGGCAGTAATCTAGTCTAGAAGGCAGAGTATTGTAGGGATCTAGGACCCTGGGGTGAAACTAAGGAAAAGTTGGAACTTTTTGAAAAGCAGATCCCTTGGGGTCTGCCCACTGGTGCCATGGGTCTGCGCCCACCCAAGCCCATTGGAGACCACGCCAAGGAAGGGCCTTTACCTGAGTGGCTTGCGCCAGGGAATCCTGAGTGACTTTGGTCAGTTTCCGTAGGTATCGTCCGTAAATTACGGCGAGGATGGATATGGGAGGTACCACACTCAAAACAAAAGTCGCCAGATGAGGTGAGACAAAAAACTGTTGAAAACAAAAGCAAAAAGGTCTTCGGTCCACAGAGTAGCAAGGAACTCTCAGTATCTGCTGTAGGTGAGTGAGTGTGTGTTTCAATGTGCAGACAGGCCTGAAGGCAGTGTCTCAGCGCCGTGCGCCCTGCACTGGTGGGACTTTTCAGGCATCTTCAATCTTCACAAGACCCGTGAGTCTTCAGCGTGCCACACGGGAGTGATGTGAGCAGACAAGAGCTGCTGGAGAAAGGGTGGCAGTATTCTACCCTCCACGCTGTACCACGGCCGGTACAATGCTGTGTACACTGGGCCCTGCCGCTCGGCAGCAGAGAGGGGGGAGGCAGGGCGGGAGCGAGGGAAGGAGGCCCATCGGGCCCATGCCGCCCAGGCCACACCAGAAATTCTGTGTTCAGGGCTGGACCACGTCAGGGACACTGAACCAGGGCAATGGGTCCCACTGAGATGACCAAGGTGGCAGAGACCCAAACACCTGCATGTGACAGACACACGAAAGAGACGTGGAGGGGGGACATCAGTAACACGTGAAGAAGAGTTTGGTGGTTTCCGTGGCTCAGTGGATCTGAACTCATCATCAGGAGGAGATTCCTAACAGCTGGAGCTGCTCAAAGAAGGGACAGCCGGCTTCTAGAAGCAACGTGGTGGGGTTTCCTATCAACCCTACAACGTGGCGACTGTATTTTAAATGGTACTAGCATCTCTTCACCGAGTTATTAAAATCTGCCGCATCTCAATTGCACAGACAATAGTACCATCAGTGCGGGGCTGTCCCAAAACGCTGAGAAAAAGCTGCAGGCTGAAATGTAAAGTAAGGGATGGAACCACCAATCGTCCATCTGTTTCCTCATTGGACAGCTTGTAGCGGGATGCCTGCCTGCAGCAGACACTCTCCCCGGGGCCCGGGAGAGAAAGGGCCTGCGTGGCGTTCCACCCGAGGGGAGAGGAAAGCTGACAGGTGGAGAAGCAGCGGATGAAAGGGAGGGAGTAACTTCAGGCCTCGTGTGGTCTTAGGAGAGCAAGCGCACACAGGCCCCGAGGCAGGAATGGTCCACCCCGAGCAGAGTGGCCGCACGGTCCAGCAGGGCACCAGGACGAGGGACCCCACTGCCGGGGCGGAGACACGATCAGGGCAGGCCTGACGGTCTGGGCCTGAATGCCCCTGAGCCCCAGTGAGCCAGGCGCATGGGGGTCCCCTGCAGTGGGGCAGGAGAGCCCTTCGGGGTTCCCCAGTGCCTGTGTGGTCTGTCTCAGAACCCCCCCCCCCCAGTAATAAGCTTTTGAAGCCGAACGCAGGGTCCTGTCACCCCAAGGAATGCTGGAGTGGCAGGAACACCCCCTGGATGCTAGGACGGAAGATCCCGCGTCTGAATCGCCAAATGGGCAGCAGGGCATAGACATCCCTAGGTTCTTGTGAGTAGGCCAACCGTGAACCCGATCCAGGGAGCTAGCCGTGCGGGAGAAGCGAAGCACACTTCTGTTCCTCCGGAGCTGAAGGCCAGGCCCCAGGGGGTGCCAGCCTTCAAGGCACGTGATGGGCTGAATGTTGGTGTTCCCCCGACATTCATATGCTGAAGCCCCAACCCCCCCCCGGCCCCCCCCGTGGCTATATCTGGAGATGGGGTCCTTAAGAAAGCAATTAAGGTGAAATGAGGTTGTAACGGTGGGGCCTTGATCCAATGGGATCACTGCCCTTAAGAGAACAGACTCCAGAAAGCCTGCTCTCTCCACGCAAGCACCGGGGAAAGGCCACGTGAGCGTGCAGCAAGATGGCAGCCCCCTAGGAGCCAGGGAAAGAGGCCTCAGGACGAACCTACGTGGCCAACACCGAGATCTTGAAACGTCCAGCCGCCAGAGACACGAGGAATACATCTCTTGTTTGTCTGAGCGGCCCAGGCTGAGGTGCTTTGTTATTCTGGCCTGAGCCAAGACAGGCCCTTTCTCACCAGCCAGCTGAACTGAGCTAATTGCTACAAAAAAAGGTTCCCAGCTCTTCCCGAGCCCCAGAACTATTGATGTTTGAATGTGAGGCTTTAATGCAGGAGGGGCCTTCTTTCAGAGTTTTGCTTCTCTCGTGGCTGAGAAAGTGCGAGATGGCAGAGGTGTTTTCCGTTCCGTGAGTCACATTTAAAGGCTCACGCCGGCAGCACGTTGTTCTGCTCTGGCCGCAGCGCTCAGTGGGACAAAACCCCCAGCGTTTCCACTGGTGAGACAGGACTGTCAGTTCCAGGCCTCGCTCTAGAGGTCTAGAACCACACTGTCCAAACTGGTGGTCTCCCACGGCTGGCGAACACTTGAGATGTGGTCAGTGTGACTGGGGAACTGAATTCTTAGTTTTATTCAGTTTTAACTAACTAAAATTAAAATTTAAGAACGCATGCTCCATTTCTATTTAGTCACTGGTTAAATTATCAGTATGTTTGGAAAACTTGGTAGGTCGATCTCCTTTTTCAACGGCAAATTTTATGAAACCTGAATAAAGATCAAGTATTTCCAATGAAAATTTAACATCTGGATGGAGATGTTTTCTAAGTATTAAAATACACACTTTGGTTTTGAAATTTTAATATGAAAAAATAATATAAAATACCTGATTCATAACTTTATATTAATTACATGTTGAACTGATTATAAAATATTTTATTAAGTAAAATTAATACATTAAAATTAATCTCATCTTTCCTTCTGCTCTTTAAAAAGTGGCTACTGGGAAATTTTAAATTGCGCATGTGGCTTGCACCCCATTTCCACTGACCAGCAGCGCGGGCCTCGGGAGGAACGTGGTTTGCACGAGTGAGTGAGGCAAGTGGGTGGCAGGTGCTCGGCCATTCGTCAGGAAAGGAAAGAAGGCTGGGGGTGGAGAGAGCGCCCCCTGCAGGAGGGCAGACCTACTTCTGTGTGTGGGAGGGTGGAGTTGGTCCTCCTTCCTCTGAGAGGAAAGGAAGTGCGCCCTTGATCCCCGAGATGGCAAGGCAGTTTCACCACCTTTGGGGGAGGGTGGGTGACCGCCTGCCTTTCCCCTGACCCACTGCTCAGCACCCAGGGGTGGCTGCCACCTGTTGCCCTCTTCTGCCTCCCTGCCTTCTCAGAAAACCCAGGCGACAATGTAATCTCTCCTAGACCCAATGGCCCGTTCTGCAGATAAGATCTCCTTCTGGGGAAACGGAGGTGCCGCGGAGGCCGTGTGGGTAGAAGCCACTTCTGCGTGCCTGCAGCCTCTGTGGCCGCGCTCTGGGCTGAGCAGCTGCAGAGGGAGCAGAGCAGCTCACCCCAGTGGAGCTCCGCACATGCGTGCGAGGCCTGGCGCAGGCCCAGCCGGGCCAAGGAGGCCTCAGCGCCAGCCGGGCTCACATACCATCATGCCGACCCCGACAGAGGCCTGGGCCCCGGCCCTGAGCCCATCCGAGAGGTTTTCGGTCACCGAGTACCCCAGGAGTGCGGTGTCCGAGGAGAGGCGGTTAATCAGCTCTCCGGTGCGCGTCTTGTCGAAGAAAGCAACCTCCTGCCTCAGAATGGAGGAGAACAACGAAGCTCTCAACCTGTTCACGATGCGCTGACCTGCAAAGGCAGACAGAAACCGAATCGGCCTGGGTCCCGACTCCTGACACGCAGCAGCCTGGCCCGATGTCGCCACCCCTCCTCCGCGCCGCAGCCTTGGGGGACATCTGGTGCCCTATTGACCCCTTGCGAACAGACTCGCCTGAGCCCTGGCAGATGGACAGGCCGGTGCGAGTAACGCTTGGTAACTGCAGAGTGTGGATGCTGAGGAGAGGCTGCAGTGATGATGTCAACATAATGTGACCGAGAGAGCCTTAAAGCACATCGTTTACAAGGAAGTTTCACTACATCGAGTGTTCAAAAGCTAATCGTGTTCTTCCTTGGCAACCCTTTTCCGTATTGAACTTTTAAACGGTAACAACTGGTTACTCATCCACTGAGCATTTATTTTATTAGCTAAATGGCAAGCAACCGACTTAGAGCTGGGCATCCAGAGCTCAGCCCTTGCTGTGGGAGTCCCCTGCCTGCTGACGGCCTGGCCCGACACAAACGCCGTCTAGCCACCACACCGCTCCTACTAACGGGGGAGCAAAAGTCTGGGGCAGCGCCCGAAAGAGGGCCCCAAGTCCAGCCTCCTGAGTGCAGGCTTTGTTCTCAAACCTCCCAGAAACACCGCTCAACTCCCCCCATTCGAGGAGAAGGAAAACTGCGAAGAGAGCACCTGATCTAGAGCAGTTCTCAGCTCCCGCATTGGGCCAGTGTCCCCACGGAGTGCGATGCAGAAGAGAGGAAAAGGCTGGGGCCTGGGGTGCTCGACCCCCGCACGGCTCCCCTTCACGTTCCCTGGGAGACCCCGGGACGAGGGGCCCTTTCACCTGAAGTCTGCATGAGGTAGACACGAACAGCGTTGGCCGCGGCACCGCACAGGAACACGCCGCTGAGCGCCAGGCAGAGGCGGGTCAGGCTGCTGCTGTAGTCGGTGGTGGGGTCGGTGTAGATGACGTCGATGATCCTCCCCAGGAAGAACGGGGCAGACATGGTGATGACACTGGACACGGCCAGGAATCCCACCGCGGCTGGAAAACACGGGCAGCCCTCAGGGTCACGGGCCCCTCAGCGGAGGGGTAGGGTGCTGAGACTTTCCTCCCTTCGGCTCCCAGACCCCTGAGTAAATGGAACCCCACTGGGGTTCCAGGGCCAGAATGAGCAGGGTAACTGCAGCGAGGGAATGACTTTACCCTACACCACGGAAAACATCGGTCCGCATCACCCCAACCTGAGCACCTCCTCCTTGCTAGGAGTAGCAGAGCCAGCAACACCATTCAGTCTGGCCTGCCTTTCTGCCTCTTGATCCGGCTGCTCATCTCAGATGATATTTTCCCTGCACTCCTGCTATTCATCGTTAGTCCCTGGCACCTAAATGTGTCTTAGTTTATACAGCAAATTATGCAGGTAAAGCTCTTGCTTCTGTCTAGTATTTCAAAATACTTGGAATACACTTCGGAAAGCAGTCACGGGCATCCATTACACATGTGCTGTGTCCTTAATATTATTGCTTTGGGGAATCAAGTGCCAGAATATCAGCCTGATGTGAAAATAAGGAAGAATCCAACTGTTCACACACCTGAAAAAGGGGATAGAGTCTTATTTTAAAAAAAGAGAAAATATTGGGACTATTCAGTCAGGAATAGTACACGCCACAGACAACTGCCACCATAATCAGAAGGACACAAACTACAAAGATATGCCACCTTCCATTTGCAGGGTTGGCAGAGGTCAGAGGTGGATAACACGCCAGCTGGTGAGCTGTGGGAAGAGGCACTTACACTGTCAGTGGGAGTGCAAACGGTGTCATTGCAATTGGTAGCGATTTGATTATCTCGGTCAAAATGTAAACGCACGTTCCCTCTGACCTAGCAATCCCCCCTCTATGAATTTAATTTATACACTCTTGTGTGTGTATGCAAAATTGTGCATTTGAGAATTTTCAATACAGTGTTGTTCATCCCAGCAAAAGATTCAAAATATCCTAATTAGGCGGAACAAGGTAAATCACTCACGGAGCATTTCTTTTATAAATATTGCGGAGTCTTTGAAGAGAATGAGAGAAGTGTAGGTATGGACATGAGCAATCCACCAAGATACACTGTTCGTGAAAAAAGTTAAGGACACAGAAATTAACATTGGTGGGGGGGGGGCTCTTTCTTTGGTCTTTCAAACAAAACATACACACAGAACATCTTGGGAGAGTAGCCAGAAGCAGGTAACACAGGTCCCTTCTTTAGAGTGGTGCTGGGAGACTGGTGGGCTGGGCGTGTGCCACTGTGAACCTCTTGATTCTGGTCCTATTTGGAACCCAACTAGTGCCACCACCACTCGAGAGTCAGTGGCCAGGGAGGTTCCTAGGGGAACACAGCACGGATGAGCCCCCAGAGATGAGCGTTCCCCACACCCTGCAAATCGCAGTTGCTTCTGTTTGCTTGGCCTAAGGCTAACACTTCAGTTAAAGGCATTGTTTTCATGTAACCTGAACAAAAACACTACAGAGTCAACTCAGGGCCAACTGGTGACTTAGCTGGCAAACAGAGCCCTAGGTGAAACGTGAACCTTATAAGTAGGGAACCTTTCCCACAATCGGTCTCTTGCTTGAGATTGTCTGCGTCCTCCCCTCTAGAAGGACGGCTCTGCCTGGTGTCAAGTGCAGACACCCAGCGCTGCCTGCCTCACTCCCTCTTCCTTCTTCTGCCGGCACATCCCACCTTCGGGCATTCTGGATGTTCCACTTGTTCACTGTTCGTCTGTCTGCGAGGACATAGAGATTTCTGTGTGTTTTCTGCTGTTACTCCACTGCCTACAGAGACAGGCGCATGATAAAAGCTGAATAAAGAATGAACTGAACTTCGATGATGGAGGCATAAAAGCGTCAGACCCAAATTCCAATGAATAAATAAATTGAACTTTGAATGAATTGAACTTTGAATGAATGAATACACACATTGAACTTTGACATGGGAGGCACAGAAGTGTATCGGACCAAAGGTCTTCAGCAGCCTAGTTAGGAACGTAAGATCTGGCAGCTCAGAAAGTACAAGGGGAAGTGACTTGACTGCTTTGCACACAGCCACAAAGTCCCCGGATCTGGCTTAAAATCCCATAATCACAATTGAACTAAATAATGCGAACCTGGCCAAGGCCCATTTCATCTTGTTGCGAGAACTGGGGTCTTGTTTTCAATTGCCAAGAAGGACAGTGAGCCCAAAGGGCAGGGAGGCTGTCTAGCTCCAGGTTCTGCAGGGCACGACCGGGATGAACTAGCTCGCTCCAGAAACAGGTGTCCTAGTGAGCCAGGGATTAACCTGAAAGCCTCGGGTTTCATCTTTCCCTGGTAATTAACCTTTCAAGTCTGTTTGTTCTTTTGCCATGGGAAATGCGGCCAGAAGTGTGATATATGTGAAATTCTGTAAAGATCCCTCTCTCCCTTCTTCCTTTAGTTCTAAATCAAAGTTATGATCCCAAAAGAAGAATCTGTGTCTCATGAGTGAAATGTCCCACGATTTTGATTGCCAAAACTAGTTCTTACACAGTAATGATAATAATACAAAGAGGAAGGAATTTAGCTACTTCCAAACTCATTCCAGGATATCCCCTTACTTTTTTCCCCATTTAATTTAAAAAAAAAGATGATCAGCTTGTTTTATTGCCATCTGCCTCTTTCCTCCTACAGGTTGACTGTAGGCAAAGGTAAAATAAAAGATTTGTTCAGCTTTCGGTGGATCTTGTTAATCCAAGTTTTCTTACATATCATCGCCTTTGACATCAATGAATAATTTAGACTAGTACCATATCTATTTCAGACTTCTCCCTAAACTCCACACGCCGAGCACCCTGCAACCCTGAAATCTTCTCTGCGTCTTCTCCACGGTTACGTCTCTTGCTAGCTCCTGTCCCACAATGAAGGGACCTCGGCAACATCTGTTATCTGTCTCTTGACAGGTAGTTTAAAGTATCCTTCTGTTACCCTTTTCCTACTGAATTGTGGCATCTGGTGGAAGAAATATCCCTCAAAAGAAAGAGGAAAGAAAACCTAAAATGCAGATTGCTGGTAGAAGGGCTCTGGGAGACAGCCTGTGCGAGGACAGAGGTTTGGGGTGCGAGGAGGGAGCTGACTTGCCTACCACTGGCTGTGCAGGGGGTAGAGTGTCTAATGAGTCACCTGGTTGTTGAATAGGCACAGCTATCTCCACTGCCCTGCAGGGACCAGAGACGCGGCACTAGGAGTCCTGGCACCATCTGAAACATTTCACATGGATTATCTCCTTCAACCCTTCCTACAACCTTATCATTCCGGGTTTTTCCGAAAGGAAACCCAAGCACAGACAGGCAATGAAGCGAGCTAGCCACCCAGTTAGTATAATACAGAACCACAGTCTGAGAACCACGCCGAACTTCCTGGTCTTCCCACATTCCAAGCAGAGAAGCACAGACCTAGCCTTGGGGTTAGGGCAGCTCAGGGGGCAGAAAGGCTGAACACAGGGGAGGGTACTGAAAAATAGGGTGGAAAGGTAGCAGGTTCTAGATCACACAGCAGATTAGGGAATTTGCAGCAAAACAGGCTTGAAAGGGCCTTAGGTTATGGAGTGACAGAGTCAGATTTGCATCTGAAATAATCCACTCTGGCTGCATGCGTAACAGAGAGCACTGCAGGCTCACACAAGGCAGACAGACAGATGGACAGTTGAAACACTGTTCTGGTCAGGGGAGGGGGAGCTAGGGTGAGGCAGGGTGGGAGCAGAGGAGATAAGGAAGGGGGGCAAGGACTAGAGATGGTTTTAAGAGTTAGGCTCTACAGTATGCTGGATTTGGGGGGCATTTGGGGGGCTGTGCCTGAAGTTGAGACTGACAGGGTTGACACCCTAACTCTGACACCTGGCTGTGTGACCATGAGTCACTGAACCTCTCTGTGCTTCAGTTTCTTTATCTGTCAAGTGGCAATAAAAATGCCAGGTCCCTCATGGAGACACTGTGAGCAGTAGGTTAAACCCACATGTAAAGCACCCGGAGCAGTGCCCAGTGCCTAGTAAGCAGTAAACACGAGCTATTCCCTTTATTACCGTCGCCATGGCAAGGAGTCAAGAATGACCGCATGCCCGGCTTTGGCAAAGGCGTTCACTCAGTGGCCCCACTCCGAGAGAAGGGACAGAGGACGAAAGGCAGCTTCAGGTAACTTTGGTGTTTAGTCACATTACATGTTCGGGTGTCCAGGGGACATTCTGTGGATGCAGGTGGATATCACAGGGAACACAGCAGCAGAGGAGCTGTGCGGGTTAGAGGCTGAAGGGAAGGAACCTGGCGTCTAGGCTGGGTGGAAAAGGAAGTGAGAACGCCAGGAGCTGAGAGACTCGCGGGAAGCAGCATGCAGGAAACATCTCAGGCCCACGGAGGAAGCTGGGGAACACAGATCGGAGCCCCAGCAGGTCTGGTGCAAGGTTGAGCGGTCAGCACGTGCCTGTGAGGGCTCGGTTTGGCCCTGTGCCCACCGACAACAGGGAGGGTGGCCACGGGCTCCAACCCTCGCTGTCCGGTGGTCGTGTCATGGGAGCCCGCCTATGTAACTTAAAGTCTTCTAGCTGCCACGTTAAAAAGAGTAAAAGGAACAGGTAAAACTCATTTTAGTAATGCATTTTATTTGATCCACTGTAACCGAAGTATTAATCAACATGTAATCGAGGGTTAAAAAGGTAATGATATTTTACTCTTTATGCATACGAAGTTCCTTCAAAATCGGGCGCACAGTTTACACTCCCAGCAGTCTGCCCAGCACACTGCCCAGCACGGCGTGCCCGTGTGTTCTGTGAGATCCCCGTGCCCAGCACCCCTGGCTTTCCGGAGCGGTCTGCATTCAGGGCTCAGCCTCACTGTCCTCGTGCAACCTTTGCCCTGACGCGGGCCGCGGGAAGCTGTCATTCTATGCACTGCTCACCCTTGCCTGGCTTACTGCACCCACTGGATTTATACTCTATTTTGGTCACTCCACAGTGTGGCCTCGTAAAACATAACTACAAATTCAGCAAAAGCTCCTGGCGGGCATCAGGTTCGAAGAATGGCCCAAATCTAAAACCACACAAGCCCTTATCAGGCATTTAAGTGAGAGGCGCCCTCCCAGGTCCTCCCCAGAGGCCTCAAGCGAACGTGACAGGCGTGGGGGTGGGGCTGTGTTCCTTCCAGGGTTTGAGTAGGAACGGCCCAGCTTTATGCACGTGCCCCCAGCCTGACGCCCTGGGGTGGTCAGAGACCTCAGCAGCTTCTATCTGCCACGTGCAGCAAGAGCTCCCGGACCAATTACTCCTTATCCTATCGGTCCACCCGGCCTCCGGAGAGTCCCTTCATCTTTTAAGACTCCTCCGGCCAAGGTGATAAGATGAGGAATTATCAGTGAAGAAACACTGGAGAGCACTTGGTAGGCCACAGCTGCAGGAAGATAGCTGCAAATCCCAAACACAGTGAGACTGGGGGGAGGGGCTGGGAAAGGAGGGGACGCCCACCGTGCTCCGCGGGCATCTGTAAACATTTCAGTCGGTTTTCAAGTTTCTGGTACAAATGACTTAAGATCAAAGTCTTCTGGTCACATGGTTCAGGTGGTATGTTTGCAAACTGAAGCCGCTAAAAACATTACTATTCAAGTGCATTTTAAAGAAGATTTTTGTATTTGCTTTTCTAAGAATTAACACACTAACACTGGCATGCCTTCAACTCAGCTTTCTTTGTTCTGTTGACTAAAAAGAAAATAGGCACACACACACAACTGTCCCATCTCCACCACTTTAAACAGGTGTGCCAACATCTGGAGCTGCTCTTATGATAAGTTACAAATTAATAATGACCCTTCACTTCCTCTTAATCCCACTAATGCCAACATCCAGATTAGCTTCAAAATATCAAATATAATGAATTCTGGGGAAAACATGTATGTCCTAATAAGAGTGTTTCCATCAGATTTCCTCACAAGATACAATATATATTTATCATGTGCTTTAAAAGTTAAAAAAATTAGCTGGTGTATCTCTCCACAGCATGCCCCTCTCATTTCTTACAGAGTGAATAAAAAATTTATTCTCTAAAAAAAAAGTTAAAAAAACTAGTGTGTAACCCCAGGCTTATATCCTCCAATTTTATGCTCATAATTATTCAGTGTGGCATCTCAAAATAGCTCCCCTTCTTAAAATAAAAGGAGGTACAGCCTCGTTTGAGGCTGTCCCCTTAACACGTCAGCACGGCAGGACATGTGGGGACACGGGAGGAGGGCAAAGAGCTGATGGCCACCAGAGAGGCAGGGCTGGGCTACCCAGGAGGGCTGAGCATGTGCGGCGCCCGAAAAGCCCGACACCCAGAAAACCTTGTCATTTAGTATTTCAGAAACGAAACCAAACCGGGTGTGCGGACACTTACTCTGAGTTGCATGCAGAATGGTGGCCACACCCTCTTGCACTCAGGGTCTCTCACTCGAGGCCTCCTCTGGGCCCGGTCCCACCATCATTTACTCCTTCATCTGAGGCCCCAGAGCCCCTGCCCTGTGCCCACACACTGAGAACTGGAGAGGGAGAGAGGATCGGAGAGAGCCGCTCTCTCAAGCAGCTCGGTCCGTGAGAGCTCCTGGTTTCACATTTTCCCTTTCTTTGCCAAGTCAAACCTGTATGACTTCATTTTTCACATTCTTTTTATTTTCATTTTTTAAAATTTGTACTGATTTTTTTTTTTTTAGAGAGAGAGAGAGACATGGACTTGTTGTTCCACTCCTTGACACGTTCCCTGGTTGCTTCTTGTTTGTGTCCTGACCGGGGATCGAACCCACCACCAGGGCCTATCAGGCCAACACTCTAGCCAACTTAGCTACCCCACCAGGGCTTCAAGACTTTCTTTTAAAAGAAAAAAGGATCTCCATTTCCAACAAAATCTGCACACGACCAAGCAAGGAAGGAGTTCCCTTTATACCTCAGGGACACGGAGACTCCTCCAAAGCTTCAAACACGCAGCCAGAGGCCAAGCGTCCCCCCTGTCACTGCCCTCCCCCGCAGCGCCCACCGGCCGGAAACGCCAATCACTCCCCAGGAGGAGTGTCCTTTCCAGGGCAGAGGTTCTGCGGCAAAGAACGCGGGGTCCTCACGGGTGTCAGGTGTTGCAGGTGACAGCCTCCCAGGCCCTCTGGCCAGGCCTTCCGCACAGCTGCGGGTTTCTCTCTAATCACGTGATTGTCTCACCACTGCCCCCTCCCCCCGCTACGCTGGAAGTCCCAGCAGAAAACAGAAACCAGGTTTCTCTCTGTCACCAATGTAACCACAGGGCCTCACGCAAAATGAAAGAAAGGGAGAGTTAGAGAAATCCGAAAAAATTTGCATTTAAACATTTCTCTAATTATGGCTAAAAATGAGCTATAGAAAAACTCCTGTGTGTCTGCATTCTGTTCCTAAAAACGTTCGATTTTTCTTTTAAAATGACTCGCTTATGACTTAGGTGGGTTGTGATCTACAGTTTCTCAAAACTTCTGGAGTTCACAGATGGGTAATGGGTCGATCACCCGAAAGGGGCAAAGTAACCCCCCACTTATCCCTCGGGGTGGCAAAGGCACTGGGACGAATTGGAAAGGTTAAGATTGTTTTTGCTTCACATGGCAAAAACATTGACTGCGAAATAAACTTGCCTAAAGGAAATGGTGTTTTAAAATTAACCTAAGTACAAAATACAAAAGAGCTGTGTCTTTGGCTAGAGTTCATTTCCAATAATAAGCGAAGGGGAAACCCCAGCTGGTTTTGAGAATGCAGACAGAGCCAACGAGGAACAGACCCGAATTTCTAAGGAGACACCGGTCCCCTGGGTAACGTGTGTCAAGCTAACCAAACAAACATAAAAGGGATCTTCAAACAGGTGCCCAGCTCACCTGGAAAGGCTTAGCCATTCCTCTGCGAGGTGGGCACTCCGTGCAGCACTTCTCGGTACAACACCCCAGGTAAAAAGGCCACCCCCCTCCCTCCTCACGGTGCTGCAGGCCGCCCAGGGCCTCGCACCGTCCCCCGTCGGAGGCCCCGGGACTACGCGTTCTGTAAAGTGTGCTGGCTGGCAGAGGGGGACGTAGAGGACGAGCACCGGAAGGGCCCTACCTGCCAAGCTCCGGCGTTCGGGGTACGCCAGCCCCAGGAGCTTCCGGGCCTCCGAGCGCCCGGCCGCCGCGGGGCGCAGTCGGGCGTCCTCTTTAGGGTCCGCCGCGGCCGCAGGCAACGCCGGCCCGCGCCGCCGGGCCTCAACCCCGGCAGAGCGAGCGAGGGCTGGGCCGCCAGGGAGCACTGCGCGCGGGAGCAAGAAGGCGCCGGGGGACCGCACCCACAGCCCCAGGAGCCGCGCGAGGCCCGCTCCGCCGCCTGGGCCGCGGGGACCCCCGCCCGGGCGGCAGCTGGTCCAGCGGCACGGGCCGCGCGCGGCTCCCGCACCCGCGAGGAGCCCCGGCCCCGCTCCCCAAAGCCGCGGCGGCCCCAGGCCGGTCGGCTGCGGCTGGGACACTGGGGCGCGGGCGGCCGGTGTCCACGCGAAGGCTAGCGGGCCCCGCTTCGCGAGCAGCCCCAGCGACCAGGCAGGGGGGCCGCGCATGGTTCCGCGTCCGAGTCGTGAGTCTCAGCCCACCTGGCTCGGCGCGCACGGAGCCCCAGGACCCTCCCGGCCCGGCCGAGCGGAGGGCGTGCACTCGGCGCCGCCCGCCGCCCCGCCCGCCCGCTGTCACCAGCAGTCACCCGTTTCATCAGGTCCGCGGCCCAAGCGCCCGCCTCAGGCCGCGCACCACGCCCCCCAGAGAGCCCACAGCAGCCGCGGGCTTTCCCCCAGCTCATGGCGCCCCCCACTGGGCACCCGAGCGCGCGGCTCGCGGCCCGGGAGGTCACAGATGAGAACTAGAGAGGCGCTGAGCACCACCGCGCCTGCGCACTGGCGCGCAGGGAGCTTTTTCACGCTTCTCAGTCCCCTCCTGTCAGAACCTGGGAGAGGCGCGAGCCCTTTCTCACGCCGGCGGACTCAGTGGAACGCGCAGACGCGATTACACGATGCCCGGAGCAAGGATGTGGCCGCAGGACAGCGAGCTGCACTGGACGGGCGACAAATCCGCGGCCGTGGTGACTCCAGCCCGGACGGGTCCTGTCACCCTACGTCCCGATGTCCAGCACAGGGCCGAGGGGTAGGGACGTGGCAGGAGAGAACATCGCTGTGGGTTAGCTCAGTTCTGAAAAGCGTTGCGGGGAGTTGTTCAGTGCTGTGACATTCAGATAACTTTGAGAACGGAAAGATATCGCTTTATAGCGCCAGCCAAAGTGCAAAAGCACACGTGGTGGAGGCACTCCGGCTGCTCAGAATGGAGACCAATCAGAGTGCAATGTATTTTAATACACGTGCCAAGAAAGCCGGAGGAGAGGGTCTCCAAACCCATCAGGTCACAAGGAGACCTCGTGGTGCGGACATCTGTAAACTGAGGGATGCTCAGCGACCAGCCTGGTTCTTAATTCGAGTCGTGGTTGAGGATTGCGGATAGCTTTTTTATTGACTGGTAAGTATTTTCAGGACCAGGCACTTGCTTCAATCTCCAGATATATGGGTTTGGAGGGGGAAAACACCCCTCAATAATCAAGATAAGTATTTTAATGCAACATTTTTTAAAAAAGTCAAAATTATCGCAAAAAACAGGCATGCTAAGCAATATGTCAAACAAATGCACGATCCTCCCGTGCACTTGCAGGATCCGGCCTCTCCTCACCCTAATCTCAGCCCTGAAAATACTATCTACAAAGGCAGGCAGTTAGCAGCTGGCCTACGGTGCCAGTTTTTTGTTAACTTTTGCATTAGAATACAATTTATTTGATTACTGAGATTTTTTTAGGGCCTCCTCAAATTTCATCCCCAGGGGAATGCCTCACTTACCTCAGCCTACTAGGGGTCCTGTTAGGTAGTAAGGAGTGTACATTTTTTTAGGGAAAGTATTGATAATAGTGTGGAATTATTAGGTTAAAAATCAGTATGGTTTTTTTCCTGTAAAATAAAATGCACGTTTTTCATTTTCACCAATAGTTTTATTGATTTGGATATTTTGAATATGTTGCTGTCTCCTGCTACTGGCTTCTAGTGAATAGAGGCCAGGGGTGCTGCTAAACACCTGCCAATGCATCAGACAGCCCCACAGCGAAGAATTATTTGGCCAAAATGTCAATAGTACCAAGGAACTTCGCAAACCACTTTTGACACATTTGATCAGTCACAGTACCTTCTGCATCATACACTTCGTACACTAATCTTTTTCGTGTGTGTTTCAGTTGCATTTTTACCTTTCTTGAAATAATAAAGCATGATACGTCAAAAATGTTGTATGTTTTCTTCCATCTTCAACATTAAAATGGCTGCACAAAAATTCACCAATGTTGATAAGTTTTTTTTAAACACAGGCTGACATGACAGCTGTCACAATACAATCTAACAAAATTGTTTCAAATGAAGTTAAAGACAACAAAGCACTACTATAGCCACCTATGGAAAAAAAAGGAAAAAGAACTTTTTGGCCAGTCCAATAACTCGTGGTTGAAATGTTCTGGTGAAGTGTGTGGGAGGCACGCCATCCTCTTAATTCTCACCTCTTGCTCGGTGGCAGGCACAGTGTCCCCCCCCACCCCCAAATTAACCACAACTTAGGTTAGGTTCTCAATGGCATCTTACCTCTGGAATGGAAGCTATAGATTAAGATAGACACCGCTGATCTGAAAGTAGGCATGTTGTTTCTGGGAAAGATTTTGTTAGGTGGCTTCTGAAAGGGAGGGAGATAGTGCTCATACCCAGCATTATGCATCCTGTTACTTCCCTTTTGAGTCCAGCAGAAACAATTGTGGAAGCATGCCACTCTCCCCATAGGAGTGAAAGTAACAATTTTAACTCACATGTAACCTTACTTTCTCTTCCCTACTTGCCAGAGAACTATTGCTGCTGCAAGGTCTGGGGGAGGCAGGACTGGCCTTTGCTTTCTGCCTTCCCCATAGCGGTGTCCCCCAGGCTTTTTCAGCCAGCACTCCCTGAGGCCTGGAGTCCACAGAGTGTGGATAATTTAAAAAATAAAAACAACAACCACAACAACCACAACATTCTTTTTTTAACTTGACAATTTTGTTAGGGATAATTATTTTCTGACTGATTTTTAGAAATGCAAACAAAAGTTCTCGGCTAGCTATCATATAATATACAAGGCGAGAATGATTTACTAGCACAAAATATAAAGAAAATGTCCATGGTTCTTTAAAAAATACAATGGGGAAATGAAGTAGGGCATCCATATTGGCAGGAGGACTTAATGTAGTCATCACGTCAAAAAAATGACTATATATAGTCAGTACAAAACATATACACACTCATACATATTCAAATTGTAAAAGGTCATCATAATGCAAAGCAGTAACATGTATTCCCACCTGGAAATAAGGATAACTTCTCACTGCCGTTTTAGAAACAGGATACAATTTCGTGGCCACTGGAAAGGGCAAGAAATGCTCTAAGGTGTTTTTGGGGAAGAAAGAAGCAAAGCACTTAGATATGAGTGGATTAATAGGAAAAATACCACAGCAAAGCAAGGAAAGGTTGCGTGTGAATTCTGAGACTCCAAGACAGCAAGCAAGAGTTCAAATCCTGCCCACAGAAAGACAGAAAGGGCTCTTGGTGGAGGTGTGATTGCACCAAGCAGTAAAATCCGGCCCTTGGTGAACAGACTTTTGATAGGTTTAGTGGACCACGGGTGTCATATTCAAAAAGGACTTCTTTTGACCAACACTTGAGAGCAGTTGGGATTACTTCAAGAACAGTTCCACCTGTGGGTTTTTGTCCCTCTCAAAGGCTGCCAAAGGAGCGCATGAGGATACTAGGAGGGGCCCCCTGGAGCACAGTAGCACAAGAAGCAAACAAAAGTCTTCTGGCCTGCAGTCTGTGATCTGATTGGGGGGTAGGGGGGTCATGTGACCCTCCTCAGTACATTTCTTTTTCTCTAAACTCAAGCATGCAGCCCCCACTGTCAAGGGCAGGATGGCAGGTTGATGGCTGAAGGTGGAGCATGCAGACTGTGAAGTGCAAACCAGGGCAAAAGTGCTTTGTAAGTTCCTCTGCAGTCTGACTGCAGCTTCGGGTAACTTCACTGCGTGCTGCTTATGGCGATGGTCGAAGCTGTAACTTTATCTCCCAGAAACGTGGCTCAGGCAGGCTGAACGCAACGTATGTAGAAGGTGCAGCATCTTTGGCGTCACATTCTCTCTCTCACACACACACACACACACACACACACACACACACCCCTTCTCCCAAAAGAGTCTAGAGAAATGTTACGGTTTGAATTGTGTCCTCACAAAATATACATGTACATATACAGGGTAGGGCAAAAGTAGGTTTACAATTGCTTGTATAGAAAATAATGTGATAATTAATAAATAATAATACAAGAATAAGCTCTGTGTTTTGCAGACTCACAACTGTAAACCTACTTTTGCCCCACCCTGTATATGTTGAAATCCCACCCCCAGTAACTCAGAATGTGACCTGATTTGGAAATAGAAGCGTGGCAGATATAATTAGTTAAGACAGAGTCACGCTGGGCTGGCAGTAGGGTATCATTGTAAGAAGATGGCCATTCGAAGACACAGACACGCAGGGAAAATGTCCTGTGATGCTGGGGACAGCTTGAGGCTGAGGAACACCAAAGGTGGCCAGCAGGTCATCAGAGGCCTCCAGGGCAGCTCTGCACACGCCCGTGTGGACCGTACCCTAAGATGCACAGCGCAAACAGGCCCGGTGCTCCACTGTGTGTACATTTGTGTCAAAAAGTGAAAACACACATGTTTACACGCTCTTATAGTCGTATGTACATAGAATGTATTTGGAAGGATTCAAAAGGGTCAGTGGTTATTTCTGGGGAGAACTGAGTAAGGGTAGGTGTCCTTTCGTAACTTCTGGATTTTCAATCAGAAATAAGTTATTCAAAACCATCTATTCAAAAATAAGTTAAAGTTATGAATGAAATTAAGAAAACACTGAAAGATAACCTCCTGTATAGGGGGGGAAAGGGAAGGAGAGAATTTTAAAGATACCAAAGGATTACGTAGAAGAAGAATGTGTGCTCCCTGGCCGGGTAGCTCACTTGGTTAGAGTGTTGTCCCGATAGGCTAAGGTTGCGGGTTCGAACCCCAGTCAGGCACATACAGGAGTCAATAGATGATCCATCAATAAAGGGAGCAACAAATCAATGTTTCTCTCTCTCTAAAATCAGAACATAACAATTTGAAAATAAAAGAAAAATGTGCTTGGCAAGTTTGTTCAAATTTTTAAAGAGAATACAATTTCCATAGTATATAAACTATTCTGAAGCATAGAGACCTGGCTGGTGTGGCTCAGTGGACAGAGTGTAGGCCTGTGAACAGAAACGTCACCAGTTTCATTCCCAGTCAGGGCACGTGTCTGAGTTGCGGGCCAGGTCCCCAGTAGGGGGCGTGTGAGAGGCAGCCCATCAATGTCTCTCCCACTCCTCCCTCCCTTCCCTTCTCTCTAAAACTAAATAAAATCTTTAAGAAAACCTATTCTCAAGCATAGAAAAAAGACTTCCTAATTCATTTTATGACATTCATCAGTCCCACTATTCATATCTAGGATAGCCGTAAAAAAGAAAACAAAAACATGTGAAAATGGAAAAATTCTTAATATAATAATAGCAAATCATGTCCAGCAGATTACTTTTAAAAACATTATTACTAAGCTTACATGGAAAGAACACAACTGTGACACTGCACAATGC